TCCAAGGTCATTCATTATTAATACTATTAGTAATATCTTCGTTAAAGACTTTGATGGCGACAGCTCAAACATGAGAGGTTGAGCTTAATTAGCTCCACCTTGCGGAAATTCCGGATACTATTATTTTGCTTGCAGTATTATAGGAGAATTTACGGTAACTAGCGGTATTTACTGGTAACTCGCAGTAGACTGCGTACAGCGCACCGGAAAATAATGCGGTATCGCTGGCGCATTTTGAATGGCTGCATCTGCAAAAGCACTTAGTTATATGTTCCTTTGATGTTTTATTTTTATTTCTTATTTGTAGATGTTGTATGGATTTTCCCTACTTCCATTTTTGATCAAATGTTTTTAAATTTCTCAGTCGATCACTATCTATACAGACAGCCATTCTCGCAAAAAGGTTTCATTGTCCCTAAAAGGGGCATTTCATTGGAAATTCTGACTGCCACCTACTTACAGCGGCAAATTAATTTTCCCACCACAGTACTAACGAGGTCATACTAAACTTCTGAGATATGATACAATTAGCATACATGGTAAAACTGTTTATATTGTAGTTCTAAATGTAGCTGTCTACAGTTTATCATGTTGCAAGATATAATTCAGTAATATAAAGCTTATGCATGGAAATTATTTTTAGGAAAATTGTCCTTTTCTATGGAGACTAAAATTTTTAAAAAATTGTAAAGGGTAAATAAGCAGTATCCATGTATCTAGAGTTAAAACACTGCAGTTTTTATTCTCTACTTGCCTGTGGTCTTACATTTATGTATTTCCTATCTCCTTCTGTTGTTCTGTAAATCTGTCATCCACTGGTTTTCTATTGCTTCTCATGATCTCATTCTACATACTCCTTGATGGCTGTGACCACCTATAAGTCAGCTTTAAAAGAGAAACATCTCAGAGCTATCCATCAACAGACTTGAGGGATGACAGATTTAGTCTGTTTCAAACTCTTGTAGTTTGCATTGCACCGTATAGTAACACTATATATATACTATCCCCTAATATCCCACTGTTTCACACACTAGATGGTCAGCCAATACTTTTCTGAAGCAAGATTCCTTCATAAAGTATCTTCATTTCTAATATTTCTTTGCGTATTTACATGATTCTAGGGATCTGACGTTCACTGCTATGATCTTACTACAGTCTGGACTGAGGAAACAACAGAAGAGAATTCAGATAGGTGAGAATATTGTACAGGTCAATTTCATTATATATATGTACACTTTATTTTTATGGAAAAAAAGATAATTGAGTCATCTGACATACTCTGTTAGCAACTGAAAATAAAATTTTAATGCATGGCTTTGCAAAGTACTTTATCTGAACAATGATATTAAGCACATCTGTATGTACTGTTGTTGTACTTTAAATTTCAAAATGCTGCCCAGTGCAAGGAAAAATGGAAAGTAAAAAAAAAATGTTGTTTGCATTCCCGTTTATTTTAAATCATCCTTATTAAATTCGCTATGCTGTGTATGGTTTTGTGTTGTCTTTTCTGACATGTACGGGGATGCATTTGCATTTATTTTAATCTGTTTCCCTGTTTTAGCAATGTGAGTTTATGAAAGAAACATCTAAAAGAAAAAGAATTGTGAAATGCATGTTAGAAAACTAGCATAACACTTCCTAAAAACATACCTGCATTTAAAAACTAGAAAATAGAAATTGCTGTCCTTACAAGTACGTCATTTAGTAGTGCTGTACAGAGCATTTGGTGTTGAAGAGTGCCACATTTTCTGAAACCAGACATAATTGTTTTTTGGTGTTAATATAATTAAACGTTATATGGAATGTTACTTGTTACATGAAGATCTTATGTAAAGATATTATTTTCATCTTATAAAAGAAAAGGATGGCATATTCATTATATAGCCAAAAGTATTTCAGTTTTTTTTCTATTTGTTTTCAAGAGGAGAAAGATTCATTAAAAAACAGGTTTCACATAATACTAATTATATTTACCATGTTCACATCAAATTTGAAAAGCTCTTAAGCACATGAGAAATTCTAAACTGAAAAAGGTAAAAACAAGAAAGAAACAATATAACAGAATGAGAAAAAATGAATTGCATTTTCTCTGGCGCCAGCAATGTATTCATTACACCAAAATGAGAGTGTTATTGGGGGGGGTCAGATAATTTCCTTTATGCTTTTTGTGCATAAATTGTTTTTATGTAGCATGAACGTTTTTGTGTTTGTGTTTTCATACAGAAAATACTGAAGAAACTTATCTGAAGAGCTTAGGGCTTTGTAAAAATTAAATGGTAGAATTTGTTTTTGTTTTTTTTATATATATACATATGCTTGATTATACCAAATTCAGATTTAAAATGATTTGCAGCTTTTGTATAATTTTGTTGTTGCACTGACTTGTTTTTTGTTCAATCATTATGGTCAATGTTTGGGTTATTCCCCAGGAGGGTTCTCAAAGTGATCACACCTGAAGAGAACTTTACATTGTATACCCAGGAACCACAGCATGAGGTCTGCAATCTTCATTTTCTGATATTTTCATGGTGGCAGTACTAGTCAGTGCTGCATATTGTGTAGAGCCCTTATTTTACAGCCCAAGAGCACTACATTCATCTTTAGTGCACTATAATGGTACTGTATTGACCATTTGATCACAGAAACTAGCTTTCTCAGTCATTTTGTATTACTGTGTTTATACAGAAGATGGGTCCAATATGGGTCTAAAAAACTGTCTATACAACTGCTTTTTATTCAGTCAGAATTACTATATTATACTTTTGCATTTCTATTAAACACACTGTTGCTTTATAATCCATTGTAAAGGTTCTGTATGTCAGATCACACATTTCAACTGTTAAAAGCAGTTCAAATATTATAGCAACATAAAACAAAATTTATTTTTAGTTTGGCAACAAGGTATTGTCCAAAGTTTTTCTCAGCTGATAAGAGTACTGGTGAGACAGATATCCAAGCGTTGTTATTAGAGTTAGTTCAGCAAACTTTGTAAGTTTTAAACTGCATGATGAAAGCTGTTGATCAGCATTAATTCTGTTTTTAATGTTTCAGGTGGTGTGGCAGTGGAAGCTAAACCATGCTGTTCGTCAGTGTTTGAACAGGAGGCGGGACTTCCCCCTTTGGGGAAAAAGAGGACAAGATCAAAATCCAAGTGGCCCCCCACTTTATCGATTTGCAGTATATACCTTTAAAAATGAAGGCAGGTTGAAGAATGCTATTTATGAAGGCTACTGGAATCAAGGGAAACCACATGGAAAGTATGTATTCTGTCATTTTGGAAGTAACAGTTGACTTTTGATTAGTTGAGGTGGTATACCTTATAGTTGTGTTCTAAAAGCAACATATGCTAATATTGTAGGTCTATTCATAATAAACATCAGAATATTTGTGCATATTTAAAAAAAAAACAATTATGGGTGGCATGGTGGTACAGAGATTAGCATTGTTACTTCGCAGTTCTGGAGCCCTGGGATAAATTCCTGGGGTGCCATTGAGTATTTTTTCTATGTTTGTGTGGGTTTGCTCCAGGTGCTCTGGTTTTCTCCCACAGTCCCAAGACATGGGTTGGTTAATTGGCTTCTGAAAAAAAAAATTGGGCCTGGTGTGGGTGTGCGTATGTCCTGCGATTAACTGGCATCCCGTCTTGGGTGTATCCCACTTTGCGCCCACTGCTTGCAGGATGAGGTTCCGGTGACCCCCATGACCCTGTACTTGATAAAGCGGTTTGAAAAATGGATGGATTGATTAAAAAGTCACATTAAAACACATAAAATAATCACAGTTCAATTTGCCAAAGTTATATCCTTTTCAAGTTACAGAATGCTCTCTGCACTCACGGAATGAAGCTGGGAATAAACCCGTTACCTGTTCCTTTGCAGCTTGTGTATGCTGACGCAGCTACCTACGTGAACTATCAAACAATTTAATTGCATTTTGACTTAATGCTTAGTGATGGTTGCTGAAAATATGTCATGTCATTTACCAAACCACTTATACCATACAGTGTCGTGGGAAGCTGGAGCCTACCCGACAAGCAACGAGCGCTAGGCAGGGTACACCCTGCACTTGCATCGCAGGGCAAGTGCAAGCCAATCATACATTTGGCCCAGATACAAGAATAGCTCCCTACTCTTATCGAGAAATGCCAGGGGGTCTTTAATGATCTCTGAGAGTCAGGACCTTAGTTCTATGTCTCATCCAAAAATCCAAAATGTTGAGAGCTGCAAGGTGATATACAGTAGCTGCTGGCTTGCTGAAAATATGGATTTTTATTATTCCCAATTTAATATGGTGGTACATATAAATAACTTCTGAGATTTTAGCCCAAAACAGAAAGGAGAGATTTATTTTTTTTTAAATTATGTGGATTTTGTTTTTATGTACAGAGGGACATTAAAATGGGAAAATGAACGTAACTATACTGGGGACTTCCAGAATGGCCAGGAACATGGGTGAGAAAGATTGGTCATTGATAATGTAGCTTCTCAGATACCAGACCAGGTATTGGAGTATATAAATCATTGTGCACGAGTGGATTCGTGAAAAATAAGAACTCATAGGTGTTTAACTGAGAACCCCAAACAGGGTCAAAGATGGTATGCTGTAGTGCACCTGTCTAGCATGCTGCAACATATCTCTGCAGTCAAATATATAAATGCTAGAAAGCTAAGATAAAATGGATAATGGAACTGACTTTTTCAAAAAATTAAAAATACATTTACATGGAGGGTAATTTGATAACAATTTCTGTATTTTGGAGAAATACATTTCAGTTTTGGTTATGCATTTCTAGAATATGGAGTCACTAAAATGTACGTATATGAATAAATATATTGTGAATGTGATGTTTTACAATATTTGAGAAGGGTGGAAACATCTGAAAGATTTCTAATTCTGTATTTTGCTCATATAAAGTCAAAGGTTGTTCCCAGTATTATAGGTTATCTGTGTGACAAATACTGTAGGTACTGTAGCTAACTTTGATGAGTGAAAATATATATTTTTGTATTTTAGAAGTAATGCCTTTTATGGTTTCAAAACACACCATGAATCTGAAATCTCTAATGATGGTGATTAATGTATCTATCTGACAGATTTGCACCCGGGGCAACATTGTTAATGATATGAAAGAAAGCCATGTTATTTATTATATCCACAGCACAAACACAACTTTCTTTTAACATCTCAGAGGTAAAATATGGCCTCCAACAGCACAGAAGTGTTTGTCACCATGCCTGGAAATTGGTATGGATCTTTTCTCCTGCTGATATAACATAATTCTGCTACCTGCAATTTTACTTTCATGTCATTGAGTCCCAGACTTTCCTCAACTTCATAAATATGACCTCATCCAACCTTAAACTAGTAACAGCACCATAAAGTGCATTTAGCAAGTCTATACCTTTGTCACTCTTAATATATTTTTTACCAGGTTTGGAGTCTATGTGGATCCTCACACAGGGACAGAGGGCTATGATTGCTACAAGTGTCACTGGAGAGATGGAAAAATGCATAGATATGGAATCTGTGAGTAAGTAGTTTTTTATATTCTCTGAAGAATTCTTTTTGGCTGATGTAATCTTACTTTAGGAAGCACCTCATTTAGTTATAAAAATTGGTCTGTAATATAAGATTTGTTGTTTATAATGCATGCATTCCTATCAAACACCAGTCCTTCCATCTCATTATTAGGTGCTGATTATTTCCAGGTCCTTTATAATAATCACCATGTGATGATTAAAATAACAGAGTAGAAAAATAAACTATTCTTTAATTACTTATTAGGAAACTAAAATACTGTAAATATTTGAATTATGGGCAAGTTATACTCAGTTGGTGGCGTAATAGAAATCATGTTGATATATTTTTAGGTATAGCAACAGTGTGGTGTACAGAGGCTATTTCAAAGACAACCTGCGCCATGGATTTGGGATTTTGGAAAGTTCCAAAACTGACAATAGTGCTTTCAGATATGTAGGACACTGGAAGAATGACAAAAAACATGGATATGGAATCTTAGAAAGCACCGACAGGTAACTATCTTTAAGAGCAAAAACTATTAATTACTTAAAAATTCTTCTTCCTCCTTTACAATCTTATCATCATTTCCATAACAGATCTGTATCAGAGGATTAGATTCATGTGCCTTTCTGAAACACAAATCAAAGATCCAAATGTACTGTAGATATGACATTGTAGTTTGTTTGACCCAGCTTTAATCAACATGAAACATAAATGTGCATTTAATTTTGATTTTGTGCCAGGATGATACTAGTTGGGAATCAAATGAAAATGTAAATATCCTAGTGCATATACAGAAACAACTCTTCCCATCCTACAAAATGGTTACTTCAAAGTTAACAAGCTGAAATATGATTTAGTTGAAATGTTCATTCCTTATGATAGTTAAAGATTCACCTTCTTTAGGTGTTCCAAAAGACAATTATATACTGTAAATAGCCTTTAGACTTACACAACAGTATGCGAATGCATTGCAGACTATTTGGTGTGCAAACATTTCGCTTTTTAAAAAACACTATTAGTTGGTTGTTGTTTTCTCCGGATATTAGTATTTTTGTGGGGAAATTTTTTTTCAGAAGATTTCTGGTTGCTGCAACAAACATTATGTACTCTCTTGACTTAACACAGCAGAAGTGAAGTTACTGCACCTCTGAAATTTAGACAGTGAAAAACTTGGCTGTGGCAATGAACCTGGTCTTTCAGCACAGCAGAGTTATTTGTTGTTTGGAGAGTGTTGCTGTATGGGATCGAATGCTGGTAGGGGCAGGGAGACAGAGTGACAGTGCACCTACAGTAGGACACATTACTTAACACTACTGTATGTAACACTACTGTATGCGTTTGCTTAAGAAACAAAACTAATCTTAACTGTGACAAGGCTGAAGTCGTGCTTATTGGTACCCCCCATCAACTTCGTAAAGCCAGTCCTGTAACCCTATCTGTAGATGGCTCTGGCTTCAATCAAATTTGAAAAACCTTGGGGTTATATTCGATTCTGGCTTAGCATTCGACCCACATGTACAGCATACTGTCAAAACATTTTTTTTCACCTTAGAAATATCGCAAGACTACAACCCTATGCTATCATTAACTGTGGCTGAAAAGCTGATCAACATATTTGTGTTCTTTCGAATTGACTACTGCAATGCTCTACTCGCTGGGGTATCTAAATCTACTCTGAACAAACTGCAGTATGTCCAAAATTCAGCAGCCAGAATCCTGACCAGGTCTAGTGGTCTAAGATATACTCTTTGCCCAAGTATATCAGAGAGTTCCCTTCTCTAAACTCCTTCAAATCCAGACTCAAAACCTTCTTCTTCAGAAAAGCCTTTACTTAACTGCTTCCATTCTTCACCCCTCTGCTCTTCTTAGTACCACCTTCCATGGTCTCCTCTATTGTAATTGTTGTATTGCTGTAATTGTAATTGTGTCTTATCTTGTGTAGTCTTCTTATTTATTGTTATTGTCATCCTGTAAAGCGCTTTGAAAAGCCACCTTTAAAGGCACTATATAAAATAAAGTTTATTATTATTATTATTATTATTATTATTATTATTATTATTATTATTATTATTATTATTATCTGGGGTGCAAATACTGAAACAGCACAAATTATAACTGCACAGGATAAAAACCTGTTTTTTTGCTTCATCTGTTTGATGGTATTTCAGTGTGAGTTCTTTTTACATTTTACATTTACATTTTTGCATTTTGATCCAGTGGGGAGAGTTACATAGGAATGTGGCAAGAGGATCACAGAGAAGGCAATGGAATTGTGGTCACACAGTCAGGGTTATGTTATGAAGGCACTTTTCACTGTGACAAACTAATAGTAAGTATTTATGTCATATTGAATATCTTTAGGTTTACATAGTGTTTTCGATACTTAAAGTAGTCAGGGACAATACCGTATCCACTAGGCTGCTGTGTCAGATCCAAGCTGAGCCACAGTGAGGCTCCGGGCATACTATAAAATTAGCCAGCAGCTGTTGATTTGCTTAAAGAAAGTTTGTTGGGGGAACCTTGACTTATCATATCCAGCAACCCCTGTACTGTATTTTGTAGTAGATATATAGAGGGAAATATTTACCATTAAAAAGTTATAATTTCTTTTACAAAAGTATAATTTGTTTTCCCCAAAATATGAATAAAAAGCTCACAATCTCATTATTTTAATGTACTTCATTTATTTTTTTAATTGTGTTTGAATGTAAAAACATATCTATTAATTTTATATTTATAAATATATGAACTCATTCTAATCAAATGTGTTAACCAGGATACAATATATTTTTAATTTAAGTTTTTTTTTTAAAGGGCAAAGGTGTTTTGCTATCAGAAGATAACTCTCTTTATGAAGGGGAGTTTACTGAAGATTTGCAGCTGAAAGGAAAGGTCAGACGAAGTATAATATTTTTTTTAATTTTTGTAAACTTTTAAAGCACGTGGGGTAAATACCTCCACCCTTACTACTAATACTGTTGCACATTTGAGGGATAGCTAAACATCTGTACTTCCCAGCAGAAAACATTGCCCTATTCTGTAGGTTCATTACAGGGGATATTGTCTTAAATGTTTTGCAGCTATCCTCGGTCCTTGAGGCAAGTAAATATGGGCGAAATATTTATCTTGGGAGTCGTACTGATTGTTAATCAAAACATACATTTAACAATGACTGGACCGTTCCTAGTGAGGACATAGCCAACCTTCTTAGGGATGGCACATAAAGAGGAAGTAAGCCTCAAAAGAGGATAGAAATTGTACGTCTAAGAGCAGATCATAGAAGAAAGAGGATCTACCATCATAATCATCAAAAGTATAGTATAGTATAATCATCAGTCTGATTCTCTCCAGATATTCAGAACTTTGGATGAAACCAGTGCTCTTCATAGAGATTTTTTATTTTTATGTATATTTAGGAAATTCATATTTCCTAGCTGTGAAATTTACAGGCTAGATTCTCTCATTGCTTATAATTCATTGTTAAGTAAACAATGAATTATAATCTCATTTATTTATTAGCGTTGTTTATACAGTGAGACTTATTCTTGGGCAGGTTCCGTTTTTTTAATTGGATCCTGGTTCCCTATTAGCCTATCAAGCAGGTTTGTTTTTGTTGGGTTTTTTATGTCTCTGGAAATTAGGCCCATGAAAAATCACAGGTAGTAACCATTCTGTGTTTTTTATTTGTGCTTTATTATAAATAAATACATGTCCTGTATATGTTTGCCACCCGGTTGTTACTCCATTACTGGGCTGTGCCAGAGAAACAAAGAGCAGTGTATAAAATGTTTGGATTCAACATAAGGACAGGAAGTGACAAATCTTTACACAAAAAGTGAGTTATTTTTATTGTTAGGTACAGCTCTACACTATGACAGTACAGTATATACATTCTGTGTGTTCCTGAGTCCTAATTCCCATAAACCTAGAAAGATCAAGAAATTTGCTACTATAATTTAAATGCACAACTAGACACCCTAAACAGTCTAAAGGAAGAACATCCTAAGAAAAATTACTACTTCCCAAACCTAAATCTACCTCTTTAAATTTGTGATGCTCACCGGTGAATGGGAAACAATTTCACTAGCCTGAGAATTCCACAGTACAGAAAAGCAGAATAATCTAACGTAAAAAAGACAGCAAACTATCCTGTAATAATGATCAGATAACCTGAATCAAGGTGTCCGATTAGAACAAGGATTTCTCACACAACTCAAGCTTTCGAGGAAAAGGAGGATGATGGATGATGATGATTCTTCATCTCTTCCGTTTTCTCTTAGGAATACCTTTTGAACATCTGTGTCTTCCCTTATGCTTACTTGCCTCTTAGCAAGCCTAAGAGCCTTACTTAGCCTTCTGAGTAGAGATAATCTCTAAAATAGCTGAAACTCAAATTGAGCCTCCCCCCATCATAACATTAACAATATAATTACAAAATGTGATATATGTAACTGTATTCTCCACAAAAGCAGTAAGACAACAGCAATAACTACTGTGCCTTGCCACTCAAACATGCAGTAATGTATATATTTTTGACCTTAAGTCTGATCTAAAATTGAATATATGAAAGAACAAATGTTTAAATCAGAGATACTTTGCTTTTTAATGTGTGACTGGAGGAAATTGATTACATTAACTCCTCTGTGGTTTTTGTTACTTGACACTGATTGATTTTTCTTCTCAACATCAAAATACAATCTGGTCTGACATCCCTTTTAGAAAGCATACTATAGATGAAAAACCACTAAAATGAGAAAACAAGCCTAAAATAATTTATTTGCATTTGTTTTTTTAGGGGAAGCTGACATTTTCAAATGGATTCACAATAGAAGGTGCTTTCAGTAACAGGTTTGGAAATGGCCTACAGGCAAATGGAGTTCTGAATACGGCAGGCAATGATGACATTGCAGAGGCAGCTGCTCAGCTGTAAGTGAAGATATATAAACATATGTTCCTATGTTTTTCATTTGAAAAATATGCTTAATGTTCCAATATATTTGGTCAATTAATTCACATTCTGGTTGATCCACAAATAGGATGCAAAACCATCATAATTTCTTTAAGTCTGCTTACTTTACAGTTTTATAATTCATCTTAAAATCTTCAGTCTTGTACATTCATTTCAAGACATATTACTTTCATAGATATTTTATCCCACATTTTATTTCCCACCATCTTTTAACTGAAAACCATCTTCAGGTTGTTTGTTTTGTTTTGTTTTGTTTTGTTAATATGAAGTACACAATTATATTGTGAGATTATTTCAAGAAATGCTGTCTGATTTTATCTAACATGTAGTTTTATTCCCAGTTCATGGCAGTAACACTTCTCAGATTTTTCAAGCAGAAAAAAAGAACATTTAGACATACCGTTGGGCCTAGAATAAGTCTAAATAATACCCAATCCTTCAATGAGCCTGATTCCAATTTAAAGAGCGCACCATTCTCTCTCTCTGCTAAAGAAAATAATTTATGCTCCCTGAAAGGCTTAAAGAAGACTCTCTGTAATAACCCCAAGACAATTGAAAATATGCCTTAGGGGAAAGCTTGCCCAACAGATTTTTCAAAAATGACTTTAGAGCAATGCAATCAAAAGTTTTAGAGTATTAAAAGGAATATATAAGCAGAATTTCCATCTGCTACTCTACAATATGCAGTGGAAAGAGAAGTGGGCTGTCTTTCTATGTGCTCAAGACACCAGTGAACTCACTTTATGTATACAAATAATTGCTGAATAATAATTTCTAGAATAAGTCTATCATAATAGCCAGCATGTAACTTTCTATATTTATCCACTTAAATGAGATGAGAATCTAGGTGCTACCTGCTATTTGTTGCTGCCCAAGTTTACCATAAACATAGCAAAATTAAGCTAACTGTGGAAACGAGCTCCTGCATTACATTACTGTGGTATTTCATGCTCAAATCAGGAGTTTGTTACATTATAAATGTCCAATTCTAAGTATTAATGAAGAGTTTAATATCTTGTACATTTAAGACAGCTGGGACTGCATGGTTTACCAGTGAAAGAGAGATGGCCAGGAATCTTTGAACCCTTTGTTGAGTACCTGCGTGCTGGCTCCACAGATGAGTCAGAGGAGGCTTTCCTTGGTTTCCATACAGAAAGTGGCAGGTCACTGAGAAAAGCAATTAGTGATAAACGGGCAGATCAAAACTGCAGTGAACCAACCATAACTTATCTTGCTGGCAAAAGGTAGGTTCCACTGGATAAGCTATTAAAATTGTATTTCTAAACAATAAATTAAAGAGATTTCAGACAAGAATAAACCCTTATCTACTATAAAGTTGTAATGTGCAGTAAATGCTGTTTCTTCATTTACAAATGTCATTTAATGTTAAAGTATAAATGTAAGAAAATGTTCTTTAGATGGACTGTGACATGACTCAGTTTATGCTCATAGGTGTCCAACATCAACTTGATAAAATTTTGTTGTTAGTGGTACCGAAATCAAAACCTTGATGGCATTAATGGTGTTAATTTTGACTCTGTGTTGTCACTGGAAGAGCATGTGAGGGATATCACAACACCTTTGCTCCACGTAGGTAACATTAAATGGCTTAAAGCTTTGAGTATCTGACATTAAAATATTGATAAATGTCTTTTTTTCCAATATTTTTTATTTACTATGGTAAGTAAGGTACTATAGAGAGTCCAGCATTCTGCAGCAGATGCAATAAACTTCTGCTTTAAGACATTACTCCCATCCTCTGAAAATTGGACTTGGTCCCTGTAAAATTCAGATTGTAGTCTGTGAAGTTCTATTGTTTATCTGTAAACCACTGAAAAATCTTGCTCTATTCAATTTTAAGGATATACAGTATAACTTCCATATAACAAAATGCAGCTCATGAAGACACCAGTTCCCTGCAGCAGTGCCCTCCCAAATGAACACAGCCTGTCACAAACATATTATACCCATTTAGAGTGCACTACAGACTACTCACCTTTATTTCAATTAAATAAAACATATCCAGCTTAAGGAGCAAAAGTCACATTTTGTAGTCTAACCTTAGCTATTTCTTAATTTGAGCCAATGTGCTGTACGGACAGTGAGTCTGTTCAATCACCCACTTGCATGTTGACTCTGAAGCTAACATAGTAGGAATAGTCAATCCCACCTGAAAACTAATGACACAATCCTCGATTTGATTTATCTATCAATAAGTGTTAATGTGTACACTTTTACTGTCTCTGGAATGTCCTAAACTGCTTAAACTAGCATTGACACTCAGAGCTATCTGATCTTCTAAACAATTATACCCAATATATCCATAGCTGTGGTATAACAGGGTATGTTATATTGAGGTTGCACTGTGTGAAATGAGCATAAACAATTATTAATCTAATCTTTTAGTCCTTCTTACTCTACTAAAGACAATGCTCCATAAAACAAGTGATAGAGCTTTTTTTTTTGCACAGCACCACATCTGTAGAATCCATTGCCAAAACTATAAGAGATCTACAAATGTAAACATTTTTTTTAACTTCTTAAAGAAGTTTCACGGGAAAGATCTAATGTATAATTCGGTTTTACTTTGGGTTTCTCTAAATTAATTTGATGTGCTGAATTGCATGTGCTTTGCTTTTTCATGCCCTTTGTTTTAAATCTTTTTGGAGCTTCTACAATGTTGGTAATCCTACTAATTATATACTAATTATATGCCATCTGCTAATTTCATTAGTGTATTCACTGTACCAGAATCTACATCATTGATATACATCAAGTAAGAACTGTGGTCCTAATACAGATTCTTGTGATGCACTGGTAATTAATTAACCCCTAATTTGAGCATTCACCCATTATCTGTACTCCATCTCCCAGTTTTTTAACCAGCGTTTCATTCCAGTACATGTATTATCTTAAGTGCCTACTGCCTGCATTTTGAGAATAAACCTTTTATAAAGAACATTTAAAATGCTTTATTGAAATCTAAATATCTTAAATATTTGGTTTGTGTTCATTCTTGCTAATGCATATTAAAAGTTCTCTAGCAGACTTATGATTTCTATATTGACTACCCCATAAAACCCTATTGTCAAATTGATTATCCGTTCAGTTCTTTTTATTGTTTCTATAGCATTGCAAATGAAAGAAGTAAGAATTATTTGTATATAATTACTGTTTAGTTTCATTGCCTTTTATATGGTGCTACATCATACTTTTTCTGTCAATGGGTATTAACCCTGTCTTGAGTGAATGTTGGAAGATTTTGTCTTATAGCCTAAGAATAATCTTTGTTGTTTCCATAATGCACAACTGTCTCTTCTCTACTAATATTATAGTATACATACAGAAACTTTGCCTTACCTCATTCTGAAGTGTATTATCGATAACTTTCTTGGTAAAGACCTGAATGAAATAGTCATGTAGTACATAAGCCATTTACCTTTTTTAAACATTTAAAACATAATTAGATATAAAGGTGCACTTCTGGTTATGCAATTTGTATAGCAAAATCAAGGATTTGCTTGTGAGTTCTACAAATGGCCTGCATTTACCAAAGCTGATCAGTATGCAGGGGGTTTCTCCACTAACGTGTTCCCTCACCCAAGTGGGTACTGTGTGACCACTGTACACCCTCAACTCCAGAACTAGTGCAGAGATCAGCAGTCATTCCTCATACAGTACCTATGCTGCGAAATATACACATTTGGAAATGCCCACAGGATCCAAGGGAACAGTAATAACAAGGAAAACGTGAAACAGTAACAAGGGGGAACTATTTACAATAACAAGTTCTTTACATCTTCAAGGCACCATGCCTGTTACATTCATTAATGCTGATTTCCAGCAATGTGCCTTTTAATAGTGGCTATTCTGGGAAGTCATAAAATATGGAATGAATTAGGAATAACAGCCAGCAAGCATGGAGGAAAAATGAAACTTGGCCTAATCTGGCTTTGGTGCATTAGCTATGTGCTTATAATGCAAAAAAGCTAATGTACGTTTATTGTTAAAATGTATTCATAAATTGTTTCCATATTAATAGAAAATGTGGAGAACTGCCAGTGAAGAACATTGACTTTATAAAAGACTTAAAAACACTACAAGATGTGGAACAGATACAAAAGTACCTGGAAAAGGTTTGAAAATATCTTTTTTACCTTAATAAACCTATGCTGTTTGTAAAACTATTGCAGAAAGACACCTGTAAATTTAGAATATAGGGTGTGGTATTAAGGGTGATGGGTAGCCTTGACAACCACAGCTGGAGAGGTTAATTTCGGATGAGCCTCAGCTGTGGGAGTCGTTTAAGAACACGCTAAACTCTTCAGAACCCTAGTCATGAACCCCCGCAAGGGGAGAATATTAGAGCAACAGATCCGGAGAGGATTGTGAAGAGAGTGTTAAGGCCTTATTTTTGTTTCTTTTTCTCCTCTCCCGTCTCGCCGGGAGTAGTCACCAGGGCAGGCTGAGCATCTCCTCTCCATGAGAGTTCACGAAGGAAGGTTAAATATTTCTTTCACCTGTCCCACTGTTGGGATTCCCCCGGGCAGGCTGAGTTTCTTTTTGCCTCGCTCTTTTTCCTCCAATCTGGGCCCTGATAAATAAGAATAGTCCAGTCTGGATGCCACTGTTCCAAGTAGTGTGTTTATCCTTTTCTTCCTTTTTTTGTTTTTCTCTCTTTTTGCTGACCTCTCACTGGTGCCTCCTCCCCCACAAAGGGGGCGTTAACTTTTACCAGTGTTTGCCATGGCTACTCCCAAGAACCTGCATCGTTACAACGTTTTCTTAGACATTCACATTAATAAAATCAGTGGAAAGATAACATGATTTTGGCTCACAAAGGAAATAATGGGTTTGATTTTGCAAAAGACGGGAACAGTGGTGTACCATTTAGGATTGCTGCTTTGCAACTCTGAAGACTTGGGTTCAATCCCTGACCTGGGGTACTGCGTGGAGTTTTTATGTTCTCCCCATGTTCACATGGGTTTCGTCATAGTTCCCCATTTTCCTCCCACAGTCCAAAACAACCTACAAGTCTGAACTGGCTTCAGTGCAATTGGCCCTGGGTGTGAGTGTGTGTCTGTGTGTGCCCTGCAATGGACTGCCATGCTATCTGAGGTGTATCCCTCCTTGTGCCAGCATAAAGCTGTTAGAAAATATACCCAAGATACAACTGACTAAACCTACTCTTCCACTGTTTCAGTCATTCCAGTCTTCCATGCATCCTTTGGGAAAGCTCCTCCAGATACAAGTCTTCGTGTTCCAGGCCACTTACTCTGGGATGGGAGCAAACAAGCACTTAGTGACCATGGCACAGGAAGAAGTTAAATACCATGCTGAGAAAATTCTGGAAATTATCATGTGAGTAAAGTGAAAGACAGGAGAGCAGTACTTTTAGTGTCTGTAAATCCAAGAATTCATTTTTCCTGTTTTCTAACATGGGAGCACCATGCTTAAGATCCAACCCCTTAAGCCTCAATATGTTATGATATGTAAAGTTGGCAGAGCACACAGTTCCTAAGGAAATTAATCTTCCCAGAGTTTGCATTGCAAATTTAACAAAGGATTAAAATGTAAATGATTTTTTTGTGAATGTTGTTATTAATAAGACACATATTTGCAGAAAAAGGAACTTTCAATTCAACAATATGCATTGCTTCTGCAGTGAAGTTCCCCATTTCTATTTCTGTGCCATATGTGAACAAGTTGAAGGATTTAAGGTGTTATTTTGTCTCTTAAAATTACATCTTTTTGCATCATGTTTTGTTCTTGGTCATAATGTAAGGTCAGACTACTGCATTTCTGAAAAGACATAATTAACATAATTATATTCCATATATGTAAACATAAATCCATCATGGGGACTAAACAGACCTTCATGTACTGTATATGTTATTGATTCACCGGTGTTATTAAATAAAGAGTCTCAATAAGTCTCTGATTCTCAATCCACAATCTTTGGTCCTGCTGATAACAAAACAAGTAAGGTGTGCCAAATGTGTGGGCATGTAAGGTGTGGGCATACATATTGACATATTTTCATTTTCTTGTGTTTTTTACATCTCAGTACTTCCATGTATATATATATTCCAATCCCTCCTGCTGTTTCCTGGTTCTGATATTCTGATAGGGTATTGTGCACCATAGTGCAGCTGTCATTGTGTAGGTCTGCAGAAAGTTTGACCAGCAAACAAATCTGTTGCAGGTACCAATTAGTGCTGGCAATTTAGTTTAATGAACAGTGAAGATTTTCTGTTTTGTGAACATCTCTGAGCAGATCAAGAGCTCTAGGTAAACATTTTGAAGAATAGTTAAAACATACAAGCAAAGTAAAATAAATAAATGATGAATTTAATCATTAATATGTGTTCTGTAAAATAATTCATGTTAAAATCATCAAGAATAAGTAACTGTATAAATAATATAAACTGTATACATATATATAAATAATACTGCTTATTTGTACCTAAGAAATTCTGAATGTTTCAACTTGACATTTTTGTTTTGCTTTTTGTTTCAGGGATTATATCTCCTTGTCATTAACAGGAGATTCACAAGATGAAGTGACAAGGTATTTTAGAGTGTTTTTAGTGGCTGTTTCTGATTTTGGATTTAGATTTTATTCTTCCTCAATAAACTTTTAAATGTTACTAATTACAAAATCTAAACATACTTGACTTACTATAAGTGCTATAAAATGTTTCTCTCCATTAAAAATGTCTTGTAATTATATATTTTTGTTTGTTTTGGGCATTTTGCCAATTTTAAACCATAAGAAGCAAAATGATAAAATAAGATTAGTGTCAGCAGTTACGTTGACCAAGGTACATCTATTGGTATGTAACTATTTCCATGAAACTTGGTTTATCATTTTCATACAGTATGTTAAAGTATTCTATCCAATATTTAAATGGTAAAACTGATCTTGTAGTTTGCATCATTTATAACATTGTGGTTGTTAGGCAATGAAGTGTAAGATACAAATTCTTTTTCTTGTATCTTTAGTGTCTTACCTTGTCACTCACTGCTGATTTCAGTTCTACAGTACAATCATATAGCTCACATACAGAAGATCACACAGAATGTGATCTACACTGTAGAATAAGCCACAAATGTCTTGTTCATGTTCTGCAGGAATGAACTGAACTGTTATTCTCTGGTCTTGCCCCTGATCCTGCCTGCATTCTACCCTGAGCTCTCAATGCTGTACATGCTCTTCCATGAAAAAGATGATGCCCTCTATTGGCAGGGTATTGTTCACCTTGGCCTGCTGTCAGATACAAAACTGTTGGAGTTCCTCGATGTACAGAAGTGAGTTTTATTTCGTCTTTTTGTTATTTTTTTATTTTAGGTATTATTTATGCATCTTGTGAACACTTTAGTCTGGTAAACAATTGAGAAGCAAGCTCCTAAGCATTGTCTTGTAAATACATTTCATACATTTTTGTATTAATACTTTATGGTGAATAAAACCGTACCATCAACTGTTAGTTCTAAGGAAAATATTAAGACCTTTGACAGAACATATACTCAAGGGATTATAACATCTTTTTGAACCAACTGACTGAAATCACAATGGTTTTTGCCAACAATCTGACTTCTTTCAGTACTGCTACAATGCCTGGTGTTGTATTTTTTTTTAATTAAATTACATTCATATTGGCTGCATATGTTTATTGAATTTTATGTGATGATCTTTATATTTATATTAGAAGTGTAATTTTGTAGAGTGAATGCACAAAGTCAGTAGTTAAGAAACTCAAGTTAGTGATTTGTGACTGAAAATAGATATTTACTGCCATCTACTGTTTGACACAACTCAAGTTTCAGCTCTTACAGAATTTCTTACAGAAAACTGCAGTGGAACAAAATTTTTATTAGAAAAAATTATCTTGATCTGTGTCACTTGATATATTGGATAAATAAACATTTAGCCTAATTAACGCTCACAGAGAAGTCTATGTTTTGGAATTTCAGAAAATCCCTTATGCTATATCAGTGATTAGACTACTATTACTAAAAACAGCACTCACACTAAAACAAAATTATTTGTGGTTTCTGTGCTAAAAGACTTATCAGTAGTGCATAACTCCTTTAAAGTGGTATGCATCCATCACTGAACAATACAGCTACCTGCACTATTTTACAAAAATAAAAATTTAATTTAAGCTTGGAATTATGGGGAAAAAATCTTTATATCCTGTTTTACTTGAACATTTGATAATCAGAAGTACAGAATTTGTAAAAGAACATATTCATTGCAATGTACATTTTAAATCTTCAATGGAATGCATCCAAATTAGTTTCAGGATGCTTACAGAAAATACAATCTGACTTGACTTTTATGCTTCCATGAGTTAGAGGAAATATGTGAATTCTTATAAAAGAATAAGTACACAAATTCACAGATTCAATATTTCCCAAAGTGAAAACTTAAAATGCTTAAAATGTGTTGCTTTTAAGTCTTGCTCTTCTGACCTAGGAGCCCTACATTTTAAGAGGTCCTTTAAGTAGTCCACCGATCAAAATCTGTTTTCACGTCCTATTTCAGTAAAGAGCAATTATTCCTTTTTTTTTCTAGGACGGACATTTGACCTAGAGTTCCTATAAACCTCTTTTAAGTTTCTTTTATATTATATATTTTACACTCTCTTTTTTGTGTGCTTTTTTTTAGCAACATTCCAAAGCTACTACAATCTTCCAACTAACCCACCTAAGCCCTGCAACTATGCGTTTTTAAACTCTTAGAAAAATAGGGACCAGCTGTGTAAAGCATGCTTGAATACGCACATTGAAATTTAGCAATCAGATGGCTGAGATTTAGAAAACAGACGCCCTCTAGGGGCTTTAAAGCGAAAGTAACGACCATCTTGCCAAATTCTGGTGTCCTCTTTTTCAACTTTGGGAATTGTGGTCACTTTAAATTTAACAAATGTATTTGCTGTCGTTTTTAATTGGATTTAAATTAGATTTCCACACTGGCGAATTGTGGACAGACTATTTGGAAAGCAAAATCTCTATTCCCTTTATCTGCATTGCATTGGTTGTAGACTGCTAATTGCTATTCACTGCCATCTAGTGACAATAAAAAGTACCTGCATTTTTAAATGTTTATTTTAGTAAATATTTAAATGCCATAAATTCAGTCTGGAATTTTCAGGAAGATTTGCAGTGAGAAAATTACATTTAAAAAAATCAAGGGAATGTACTGTATATTGGATTACAACAAATATGTTTACAAAAATATATTAGAAAAACAGGTCACTTATGCTACACATTTATGTATCCTTTTTTATTTATGTTGTTTTCTTGCTTTTATTTGTGGCTAACTTTTAAACTTACTACACTGTACTGTAGTGTATTGAGAGGGTATAATCACACATTTGAATATCTTTTCTCCTTTAGGTTTTATTTGTAGGTTTCCTTTAGGTTTCTAATTCTGACAATTAAAAACTGAAATAGGTGAACTCGTGGCCTACAGCTTCACCTTCTTTCCTTGTCTCCTCTGATCCTGGTCTTCTCTCATTCTCAAGAGTTGCATTTTACAGGTCTCATACTTCTGTGAGTTCCCCACACTGCAAGGCAAAAATTCTAACCATCGATCCACCCTCAGATTGAGCAAATGTATTTGATCAAGTTATATACAGTAGTTTCTTAAATGAACATGACCAAATTAAGAATAAGTACAAATGCCCTTTCAACAAGACCAGAGTTTGACACAGGAATATTAGGTGAGACCATGCCCTGCTCTAATAATGAAGGTTGGCTGCTCTCAGCATTATCAAAGGAACTCCATCTGTGAAGACCTTGACAAGATAATGAAATGTTCTGCTACAAAAATCCACAGACTATTCCAGTGAAACCACGAAGAACTCATTTTAGACTGCAGTGGCTTTAGCCATACATTAGCAGGATGGCTAGCTTTTTTTCTGCATAAAAATAATCCGTATGTTGAAAGACCATCAGAAGTAACACTAAGAACATAAAGGTTGCTTAGAGGAAGTAATAGTAATGATGTTATCTCCTTTAACACCAAAGTGCCTTTGGTAAAATACACTACATCTTATTGCTCAGAAATAAGTTGACTAGGTTCTTGACACAAAAATGTGTTCTTTCAGTTTCTGCAAGCCAATCCAGAAATTTCAATTTTTCAGTAGGACAATGCAAAACCAGTGCTAGGGCTCTGAGTACAATGGCACCACATTCAAGGAAACAATATTGGAACTACAGAGCTAGCTAGTTTGCCATCAACAGAAGACTATTATGAGTTGCTGCACAGGAAGACTGGTGGTCATGTGTTAATGTTCAGGGAGGTTATACCCAATGCTAAATTTGTCATTTTGAATGTGTGCTACGTTTCATACTGAATACTTATATTTTCATTTTTGCTCACGGTTTGTGCTTTGTTCACGGTTGTTATTTTGTTTAATTGTGTTTAAAACAAATGTATTCTGTGTTAATTGCACTACTCAGTCCTAATGCATTAATTATATTATAAATATATTAAAAATAAATATATTAAATAAATGTATTAACAATTAAATCCATTATAAAATATATTTATTAATACAAGAAATCCATAAGTGTTGTGTTTATTTTGTGCGTCATGTATAGTATTTGAGTATAGTATTTGTACTTCTTTTAACAGTTATTGACACTGTTGAACTAATCAATAAATATTTTCAGAAGTCAAGTTTAATATTAGTTGGAAATGTCTTTATTTAAAAAAATATAGTACAAGTGTAAAATCATCTACATTTCAAGGGAGAAGGGTGCTTGAACATTTCATATTATGGTCTGTTAATTTTAACTGTGTCAAAGTAGCTAGTACTGTACTGGAAAGCATCTGTTTTGTGTTATAAATGTTAACATTCAGCTAACTGTAGTTGATGAAGATGAGAATAAAATTTATGTTGTATCTCTTATAACAGACATTTATGGCCACTCAAGGACCTCCATTTGACTATTAATCAGGTAAAGCCCACTCCTATTTTCATATAGTGTAATATTTTTGTATTTAATTCTAGAAAATAATAAAAATAAAAACATGGTCAGTAATGAAATAGAACAATAAAAAACGTTTAAGCCATACTGTACCATATATGTTTATCAAATACCTAATTTCTATATTTATTTTAATGTTTATACCAAACATTTATTGCTATACATTAATTTTCTGTGTCAGAATAGCATTATTGTTGGTTTACCATCAAATATAAAATTGGAGATTTAATGTAAATTGAAACCACACAAGAAGGTTCCTGTCTTGATTATCACATCCCATTACAGAAAACAAGGGTCAGCCTTTGACATTGGTCTTTGTCAGTGTGAACTAGAATGTAATAGATTATTTTCATACAAGATGAAACATTTAGTAGAGATGGCTAATTGGGATAAAAGAGGAAACTGTTGTGCATTTTAGACAAGTTTCGCTTGCCTTTTCTCCGTAAACTCCCATAAATATGTATTTACACAAAGCAAGCTTTAGTTTCTTATCAGGTGACATTATGTTTGAACAAAGTATGGTGTTTAGATGATGGAGCAAAGCTGTGACTTGTAAATGCCTTTTGCTCCCTTTATTCTATTTTAGGTAATGGCATTCCATTAAACATACTCCCTATTTTGTCATAGAATGTGCTTGTTAACATTTTTATGTTACATTGTTGCTTGTTAGCATTTTTCTGGCTGATAATAGTTTTAGTGGGTTCCTGTGTTCCAGCTTTCTCACAAATGAGATGTAACTTTCCCTGTGGCTATTTGTTTCCTTCACAAATCAAAGGACATCCATTGATTCCTACCCCCATTATTATTTGACAGAGAGAAACTCCCTAATGTCTTGTGATGAAAAATTACACAGAAAGGCATGTGTTTTTATACAAATATAATTGACTTAACAAACAATTTTTTATGCACTTCAGAAGTGTCGTTGCTTGTCTTTACTAAACAGAAGAAAAAAACCTTGTCTTCCTCAGAGATATTCTCTAGTAAAGGACCAGTGTTTCCTTTCAGCAATTGAGTGTTTCCAGAAAATAAGGTAAATATTTAAGCAAGGTGCCTCTGATAATATTTCAATGCTATTCTCTTGCTTGAACATTGAACTTTGTTTGAACTGTTTTCAAACTTAAAAAAAAATGTTGATTTCATATTTATTTCATTTTAATATAAAACAAATTGTTTTTATATATTTAAAATGTGCTTTCTCTTTCATAGAGCTAAATGTTTTTGTTAGCCTTAAATTTAAAATCTGTGATATATAAAGATATACTTTTGCCATCTCGCAGCTGTAACAGTTGCTCAGTAGTTTTTTTTTTTGTTGCTGGTAGTTTTTTGTTATTGAAACACTAACCATTTGAAAACTACAATGGAGAATTCAGAACAAACAGATATGAAAGAAAACAGAACTTTCCAGAGACAGGCAGAAATGGGAGAGAAATTCAATGTAGTGTGCTAATACTATTCAAAAGCTTTTATAAAACAATAGATTTCACAACACTATAAAAATATACAAAAATGCAATCATGAATAAATAAATAAATAAAGTAACTGTAAATGTCTTTTAAATATTGTTGTTTTACTTTTTTCATAAAACAATAATTGATTCTTGGTTTCATTAGAGAGAGAAGGAATCAGTAAGATTGAATTTTGCTTTTATGTATCCTAACAGCACTACAGCAGACCCTCGGGAAAAAATGGATACTCTTTATAAAACATTTGAGGAGATTGAGAAAACAGTATCCAGGGTGCTGAATCAGGATTACAAACTGCCCATGGATGACCTGTTGCCTCTTCTGGTTTATGTAGTTTCCAGAGCAAGGTACATTAGAATTAAAAATTAACTGTTAACTTGTTGTTACCACCTTCTGACATTAACCAGCTTTTCCCTCTGATGATAAATGGGAATTATATTTTAATGTATGATAGTTTAACTCTGTTATTAAAAGAATCCACTGAAAGCAAATACATTCACTTACTTTTATATATTGGTATAATGAGAGTGGCAATTTAAAGCTGTCCAATTGGGTACCAATGACCAATAAAAAGGCAGAATTTACATAATTGACAGTTACCATTTTTATACAAAGTCTGTCTATGACTGAGAATATTTACTGCTAAATCTTATGTGTTTAAATTTAAGAGTAGATATTACTAATCTTAAGGCAAGCACCTAGTAATTAAGTGTTCCTTTAATCTAATGCACTTATTGTTTAGAACTGAGAATATATTTTTTTAAATTTTTGTTACATCTAACTTCCACCAAAACATCTGGTTGGATATGACATCATGTGGCTCTTATTCATATTGATCATTCTGTGATGATTACTGTCAGATTTGTAGCTGTGTCACGTCATGCTGAGAATCTTCAACAATTACTTCCAGGACGCCCTTCCGCGTTTAACTTGTTCAAATCCTATCTCAACGCACATTTTTGCATTGGCCTTTTCTTAATCTTTGTCATCATTCATTATGGTACGTTCCCAAGTCACCATCTCTATACATGATACATTCTCTACTCAGTCAGCCATGTTGTAATTTTTGTAATGTGTTCCTGTCCGGAAATGTACAATTTTATTATTTCCTTTCAAGTGTTTATTTACCGAAAAATACTGCAATGCAAAAAACACGCTACAAAAATACAGTAAACTAAATATACACTGTAAATGTTGTTTTTTTTTACCTTCTAATAAACATTCTTCTATGAAGAAAAAACATAGGTGTATTTTGCTCTTTTTAAGACGTTTCTTTAGAAATTTGGTTACTATTGTCACAGGATCCGGCACCTGGGAGCTGAACTGCATCTCATCAGAGACATGATGGACCCTAATGGTGTTGGTGGAATTACTGATTTCTTACTAACTGCACTGGAGGTATGTTGCGTAGATTTATTGTGATCTACAGTGTTTAAAATAAAATGTATGCGATTGGATGGAATAGACTTTACAGTTAAAATGAAACTTGTTATTTTAAGAGGGGAATGTTCAGTGGATAACTATTACTATTACTTTTTAAAATAATTTTCGATGTTAAAATCATTCAGATTAATTATTTATGGCTACTTATGCTATGTTAAATTAATAAATACTGTTTCTATGTTTCCAGTCCTGCTTCCAGCATATCCAGAAACAAGAGATCAGGCAAGGTCGGTTCACAGACTCAGTCTGAAGATCACCAAATGACAAGATACCTCAATATCTTCTTAAGATCTCATTTTGAATCTATGATAAAATAGCAATGAATGACAATAAAAGTAAGCTCCAGGTTCTTAAATCTTGCACTTGTTAAGACAAGATAATGTAGAAATCTGTAAAGTATTCTGTTTTAAGATCTATGCATGTTGTCATTGGTGAGCGTTACCTAATGCTCAGCAATGCTTCTTCTTACATATGGTATTGACGTGCAATAAATTATGCATGCATTCTGACAAAGAACTGCATAGTACAAGAAATTGACAGCAGGCAGCATGTTACTCGAGCTTTTTGTGCCATACCACAATACATTAGTAAATCTACAACTTACTTCTTGTAAGAGGTATAAAACTTGTAAGTGTAATAAACTTTTACATTGGGTGTTTTACCACAGGATCCATGCAGATCTATTTAGTTTAAAATGTATTCCTCATTATTTAATGTTTACTGCTTAAAGGTCAAGTTCTGAAACGTATTTCCTCTTGTCACTTGCCACTTACTGTATGCACTAATGAGCAAATATATCTAGCAGCCCTTACAGGCCTAGAGTGTAGATATGATAATATACTGATGGAACAAAGAAATGCAACATTTTCTGGAATGAGAATACTATAGTTATAGCTATATGTTACAAGACTTAAAGGAGAACCCCGTGCAGGTCGGTCTCGTCAGGAAAATGGAGAAGGCTCGGAAAATGGAGAAGGCTCGGAAAATGGAGAAGGCTAATGATTCCAAAAGGGCTATGCAGAGTTGGTATTCAAAGCTTTCACTAAGAGATTTACTGTAGCTTCCAACACGGATCGCAAGTTAAAGGCGAGGTCAGGAGACAGAGGAGACTGTACAATACCGAGCACAGAGGTGTCGACTGAGAAGGGTTTAAATAGCAGGTCAGGCGTGGAATGTTAATTGTGATTTGACGATGTCCTGGTGTGCCTGTAACATTATGTACTTTCACAAAAAATTGTTAATTTGTTTTAAGCCCTCTGAACAGCAACACAGCTTGTTCAGTGAGGCATTGCAATTTGCCAATCACACCAAAGCTTGTTAGGTGGACTTTTACCCAACGAGGTCCAGGTGGAACAATGCCTGATCAGGTCACCTTTAAAGAGGCCTTCATTCAAAGCTTAGGTCACTGCAAAAAAAAAAAGGCCACAATTAGTTAGTTTTCTGTGCATTCCATGATGCCTCACCAGATGCAAGGGAGAGGGCCAAAGGTTTGCTGCAGGCTGGCGTGTCATGTGCCAGCGTTGCCAGACACTATGGAGTAAGGCACTCCACTATGCCCTTACTGCAGAGAAGGTTTCAGCAGAAAGGCACAAGAGATGACCGTCCAAGATCCGGTCACCCTCAAGTGACCAAACCAGAGCAGGACCAACAGATCAGACTGGTCCATCTGAGAGATTGTTTCAGATCTGCCACCCGTACTGCTGCTGAAACTGCTGGCAGACACAATGCCCGCATCAGTGACAGGACAGTGAGGCTCCATGCTGCTTGCCTTAGAGCAAGGCGACCTGTCAGAGGCCCTCAGCTCACACCTCCTAGACGTCATACCCAACTGGCTTGGGCCAGACAGAGGCTGCGATGATGCCACTCGTCAACAGTGGCATCAGGTCCTCTTCACGGATGAGTCACTCTTCAGCAAACAGGAGGTCCAGAGTGTGGAGGAGGAGGTGTTGCATTTCTTTTTTTTCCATCAGTATATTTGGCATTTCAATTTCTTGACAATTCTATGGAAGCTTATTAGCATTACAAATAAAAATATATTTTTTAAACAATAACTTTTTGCATTTATACAAGATAACACTGGGTTAAAATGTGCAAATTGGTGAACAATATTGTTATTGTCAGTCAATCGTTGGATCTTTAAACACAAAACCTCACAATCTTTTAGACTATGCTTACATCAATACATTTGAATTTAGAAGTACACAGAAAAATACAGAAAAAGTGTCAATTGAAAGGGAAAGAAACAGTATTTCTGTTTCCGTTTGCACAGACACGAATGTAAAGAGATGCCAAACAAAAAGAAAATCCTTTCCATTACAGCGTGTAATCCATTATACAGTTTGTTCATTGATGGCTTGCTGTTTACTGTTACCAACAATAACAGTAATAGTAAACAAACAGTAGGTATACGTTTTACTGTGTAGTCATCGTAAATGCTTTCCGTGCAATGTTTAAAGAGTCAATGCTAGTTTCTATGGAACAATATTGCATATATACAGTATTGCAAGAAATCTATATGGTAGGCAATATTGTTCACAAATTACTTATCAGTTTTTAACACAATGTTATCTTGTATAAAAGCAAAAAGTATATTGTTTTAACGCAATGTTACCTTGAATAAATACAAAAATAGTAAATGTAATACTATTTCTATTTTTTTTCTCCATGGCGCTAATAAGCTTCCTCACAATGCAAGTGGCTTTTAAAAAAGTGTACAATAGAATATTTTAAAGCTGGTTTATAACATTTTTTTATTTCTATTCTATTTATTTTTTACTGAAAAGAGCTTGCTTTTGGAAGTAAGAGAAGATGAAAATAAGCTGAAAAATAAAATATATTTATAGAATCAATCCATGCCTAAAAGTAAAAAGGACAATTGTATCATTTTTTTCTTGTGGGTAATAAAGGCAGATTCAAGTACTCAAACCAATAATGAGGTAAATAAATTTGAAACTACAGGATATGCCTAAGCCTTTTCAGACTTCATGATCTGATATATCATTGTTGGCAGAAAATCTATGAATATATGCAGAATATTTGCAATTATGTATTCTATGATATGTTCAGATAAGTTAATTTATACAGTATATTAAAAATTGTGCATTCCCACTGAGATACCAATTGCTATAGAACCCAGTGTGAGGTGTAAACAATTAAATTAATCTAAAATTTCAAAGTGAAAATCAGGTACTGACACCAGCTTGCCTTGCATGCTAATTGCAAAATCATTTTATTTTAGAGAATACCAAATGATAACAAGTGTACTCACATAGACTCTTTGTTCTCAGCACAGAAAAGTGGCAGTGTACTGAACAAGGCAGCAAACTAAAAAGAAGAGCAAATATTTATTTACAAGTATATCAAGTACACACAATGTTTACTGCCATTATTTACAATCATGTCTAACAACTCTGCGTACCTTAGCCTAGCCTTTTTACAGAACCAGGAAAAGGATCTGAACCTTGTTAATAAGACACAAATACCTTAAAGGAAAAGGGGAACCTTGTTTACAAAATAAAAGACTCCACTCCGGACGAAATCACTGCCTAGAGGGGTTGTAACCAAAGGGAAGCCTTTATCCCTTCACCACTGTATTAAAATACAAGAAAAGTTTCTTTTACATGGTGCAGACCACAAAACGGAAATTAATAATCCACAACTGTAAGACAACAGTGTCTTTCTTACATTCTAATAGTTGTCTCTTTAGGGCTCAAATTACCAGATTCCCACAGCATAGCCTGCCAAAGGAGGAATTCACTCCCTGTGCAGTTTATTTTTATGGTGGATTTTAGAGCTCTCTACTTCAATACTTTTTTCTCTGAGAGTGTGTGGAGTCCAATTTATATTACTTACTTGCTCTGTTCCATCTGGTCATTTTTTAAAACCAACCTGGCTGCCTTGATTGATAAGATCAGATAAGGAACATCTGTGGAACTCCAAATAATCTGACCCTAATACTCCAAAGAATGCTTATTGTTGTACCTTAAAGTACTGATAGGTGTTGCACACAACTATCTGATACATTCACACAAAAAGGTAACTCCTTAAAAAGCATTTAATAATTAACACTGAAGTGGGTATTGACAACGTATTTATAAATTATAAAACTCTTACTTAATGTAATAACCATGCAATTATTAGTAAAGATCATGTTATGGATTCTAGGGAATTCAGAATGACATTTGCAGCTCCTGTACTGAAGCATTACCCACAAAACGATTCTGTTTTTTGGAGATTTATAAGCCACATCACTGAAAAGGTGACTAGGGAACAAAAAACACTTTACTCATAGAAATGCAGCTATAGTCATCATCAAACTTGTTCCTTCAATGCTGCTGAATTATATATTTCTGTATGATGAATCACAAAGATTTTCATTATATGCAATGCAAGCACATCGTGGGGAAATTATTACAATTAAGTCATTTCACTTGTACCATTCAGTACATTATGTCCACTGTAAAAGACCAAACTTTTAGAGGTTAAAGGTTATAAAGTTCTAGCACCTTACATATTTTCCTGCATAGAATGATTTTCTTTATGTTCCTGTAATGTTCATCAAGAGGAAAAAGCAATAAGAATAAAGAACGTTATTTTTTAAGACAACTCTTGGTTTTTGTACAGTGTTTGAGTGGAAAGTGATGCTGAAACCATTTTTGTATTAAAATATAACAGGATATGTTACCTAGAAGAAAGCAAGCCATGGTATAAATCAGAAAAGGTAAAGTTAAATCAGGTGAATTCTGAATACAATGCTGTATACTGTATGCTTTGGTAATGTTAAAATATATTTTACATATCTAATTAAAAATGGACTCACTGGTAATTTATTTTGTCTGTGGTTGTTCCTTTTTTTCTTTTACGTTATATTTCTGTTACCATCAGGCTTGAAGCGGCTCACAGCCTGACATTGCCAAGAGAACACACTACATTCCCATGAGCACTCACATGAGCAGTCCACTGCCACATTGAGAACTTGCTCAGGCCACCTCTCTTTTCCACTTTTGATTTAAACATCAAGAACCAATCTAACAATTGATCGCCTCATTGATAAGCCTATTTCCAACTTAATTCTCTGCTAGATCAATGATCTGATATTGAGTTCCCTAGAGTTGTAAAAGCACTCTAGTCACCTCTACTTGAACTACTGTATCGGCTTAGCACAGATTCCTTTACTCCCGTTACTGACAGCCCTTAACCTGCTTACTGTGTTGAGTAATGGTAGAGGCATGAACAATATACAGTCCTTAGCATGTTTGTCTAAGCCTAAATCTTTGCATACAAATACAAATCTTCAATGTCCAGGGCAAATTACTGCTACCAAAACCGACTACATACATAACCCCTGCTACCAAATCGATATGGCTGCCAAGCATTACCACTATCCTAAGAAACGTTTTATGTTTTGAAAGTCACAGAGGTTCAAAATGTATAATTTTACAATGTCCTTGATATATTGAATGTATTTTGTATCAAAGGCCATAAAACGTGTGATAAATTCCAAATAATGTCCTGTGTGTGTATGAACTGCACAGCATGTGTCTTATGTTAAATCTGAATTGAGTGTGTAAGTGTCCCTGTTGCTGCCTTTTAATGATATTTCAGGCCATGGATAACCAGCCTGAAATGGAGCAGTGAGATGTGAGAAGACTTTTTTGGACTCCTTGTTTATAGCCCACACTGCACCTTGTGTCCATGACCTTATAGTGGTCCAGTGCTGATGGGATCCCTCCCCTTTTTCTCTTCACCTTTTTAGGCATAAAATTCCATGGTGGTTCAGGGTCCTGAGACTGAGAAGCTCGCCAGACTCCTGCTTGCCATCAGCAACCCCTCTTCCTCCCACCTGCTTTGGACCATCGCTTTGGCCACTGTTTTGAGGGTTCCACCCTTTACCAGTAGTGGCAAAAAGACAAGACAGGCCAAGGCACTTACATTCAATACTTCAGACTTGATGTCACTTTTAGCCCTCTTTTGTTACTCCCTTCTTTTCATAGTCAGCCATTTGTCCATTGACCAACAAGCATCATCTAATGGTTACTCACTACCATTTCCTACACCAATTCTGCATTGCTAACTAAAGAAACCAGCACACCAGGCTTAAGGCTATTCCTTCCAGGTCAGAGAGCACGTTCAACAGTCCACCGCAGAACTCAAATACTATGGTGCACATATTTTCAGTCTCTCCTGTTTAACCCGTCAATTCCTGCTCCTCTCGGTCACTCTTTGCCTCATCCAGTTCTAAGATGCTTAGGCTGCTCCTTTATCTTTGCTATACGGAAACAAACCTGCAGTAACTTTAATTCCATTGGCTGCAGAAACTCTCAGTGCAATTCTACATATCAACAACTAATCACTACTATGCAAACACTTCATGTGCAAGTCCCTTGAAATGAATTCCTCCTAAGCCTTGCATAGCCAAATAGACCAGCCTTAAGCCTCTGAACCTCAGGCTCTGCCATTAAAGAACTCTGTCATAGTGTTCTTTAACTCTCTTTCTGTCAGCCTCATTTCTACAGGCAGGTGTCTGTTCTCTCACCAGGTGAGTTATGCCAAATACAATTCTAACACTTCCATTTCTATCTACCATCTATATACAGTATCTATCTACCATAACACACAAAGGGCACTACTGAATTCTTGGATACAAAAACAAATCTTTAATAAGTAAATATTACTCAGATTTTTGTATACAGAACTCTTTAAATTGTATTTTACAAAGCTGAAGTTTAACTTTGCTTCAGCAGTCCTCAAGGGACAGCGTTACTGTTCAAATAACTGTTCTTCCATTAGATCTTTATTAATATGTCCAGTAATTTAAGAAAAATATACGTGAGATTTTAAATTTTACTTTTTTTCATACCAATTATTAAAAACTATTCAAATTTATGGTTTACAAATATTTATTGCATATTACATATAAGTAATGCAATTTCTATCAATATTTTCTGACATATTCTTCATGCCCTGTTAATTTCACTGTGCAGTACAATTAATAGAACACAGTCTATTAATAATATTTCTTAGTCTTCAAGGAACAGATAAAACACATAGAAAAGCATGTGCTCATTATTTGCAATCACATTTTAAATTGTTAAAGCTTCAGTTACACTTCACAAGACAAGACAAGACAAGACAAGACTCAGACATTAAGGAGGGCTTCTTGGGATTATGTTTGTCTTTTTCTCAGTTCCTACCAAAACAAGAGGGAACAAATATTGCATATGTATGACAGTTACCAATAAAATTACATTGGAATTCAGTTAAAATAGAGTTAAAAATCACATTCATAACCCCAAACAGCAGTTCCTCAAGCTTTCAAACACGGGAGCTAATCAAGTATAGTTTCTGTTAATCCTAAATGTTGAGGGAATTTAAAATTCTAGGCAATTTCTCTGCCATTCCCAGTCAGAAGACGAGTGTCTGTTTTGGCTCTGCAGAGCTAGCTGCCCTGGCTCTCACATTGCTTGTGCTTCCGCAGAGCCTGCAAGAAGACCTGCTTCACTTGGCCCATCATTTCATCATACAGCCGAAGATCTTCCTCCTTGCCTTGCAGAGTGCTCTTGAGGGCTATCTTCAAAGCCTCATTCTCATCCAGTTGGATCGCAAGCCTACAGAGTAAATGTTTTACATATCAAAATATTTTAAGGAATAAACATACGCACATATTTATTTTTCTTAATCTGTTTTAGTCCTTTCTCTGTTATTTCTATACATTTTTTTCCAACACTAAATGGTTTTGAATTGTAAACCATTTACTAAGCGTGAAAACGTGATCACGTGAAGGGATTTCAGAAGGGCACTGAGTGGACAACAGTAATTATAGCCTGACCTTTGGAGCACCCAGATGTGTCCCATAGTAAATCAACTAGGTTGCAGAAAGAAAAATATAACTAAAAGGTTATGATCCAATTTACTGTATAACTCTAGCAAAGTACAGTATGTCTGATAGTTTTCTCCTGGATGCATCTGTAGTTGGGTAGAATGAACTGGGGGATCCTTAGTTTACACCACTTAAAGAGTTTCCAGTGGCCAAAAATCTGCCAATCCTCCTTTAACAAAAGCCCTGCTGTCTGTAAACCTGGAATGTGAAAAATAGTACATCGCAATATGCGTTTCAGAACATGTGTGCAATTTATCTCAGTTTTCTTTGGCTTGATGCAGCTCTTGATGCAGTACCAGTGAATTTGGTTTAATATTAATTGGCTGTTAAAAATTACTGTTGTTCAGTTATGCACAACATTCTCTCTTTCATGGGGTATAAAGGGGGAAAATTACTAGCTTTAAGATTATTAATTACATATGTATTCATTTTGGTAATCCGTTACTTCTGAAGAGTCACGGGGGGGGGGCGGAGCCTAATACAGGAAGACGGGATATCAGACAATCACAGACACACACAGACAGGAACGCGTACACATTCACACCAGGATCAATTTTCCGAGAAGCCAATTAAACTAACAGTATGCCTTTGGACTGTGGGGGGAAACAGGAGCACCCATAAAAAAACCACAAGAACACAGGGAGATTATTCAAACTCCATGCATACAGTACCCCAGGTGCAGAACTGAACTCAGGGCCCAGCATTGGGAGGCAACACTGTGCCACCACGCTGCCCTATTATTAATTATCAAAAATTGAACAAACGTTTGATCATTGTATTAACCTAAATAATGAATAACCTGTAAACATAAAATACAGTTATTATTATGTGAACTCATGAAAACTAAACTATATAGGCACTGAAGCATGGTACAGATCTGGTAATGTCTACCTGATTATGACATAAAGGAAAAAAAGTTATGCACAAAAATCCCTCTTTCGTACTTTGTATTTAATTCATTGACTTGGGCTTCTAATGTTACTCCACACAGGGTTCCCTGAAATGTGTCCTGGGTGTCCAGCTGGTTTACAGTGAGCCCTGTACAGCTGGCAGAGGTACCTGTTTTCAGAACAAAACATTAAAAATGAACAAGTAAATAAGAACAAAAGGCAATTTTTTTCAGCATACTTACTTCCTTGGTTAAAACTGTTGGCAATTTTCAATTTTTGTCCAATTCATATTAAAACCATTGTCTCCACCAACAGTTGCTCTTGCATACACATAATTAAAAAAGCTTGATAGTGCACCTACTCCATGTTAGTACATATTCTCATGGAAGTAAAAAAGGAACCTACAAAGATCATTCAGCAAGAAACATATGTTGCGCTTTTATTGTTACTTAAGAAAAACTTGCTATTTTCATTTTTAAGTGACAGTGTGAAATAACAGAAGTGTTTTAATAATTCCTACATTTACATACCGCTCTTCTGGAGACTCCACTCAAAGCACTTTACAGGTATTGGGGACTCCCCTACAGCACCACCAGTATGCAGCCCACCTGGATGATGCAATGGCAGCCAAAGTTTGCACTCACCACACATCAGCTGTCATTGTTGTCTGTCCATACTGGGGGAGCAGGACAGCTTTATGGATGGGAATGCTGATGTGGCATTTTTTAAAGAGCATTCCCACTCTTCACCTTGCTTGTCACACCTCAAGAATACACTTTTATTTTAGTATCTGGATTTCATTACACTTTCTAAGTAAAAAAGGGCTAATGTTGAGTCTTATATGTGTGGAAACAGTATTTACCCCCCCTGTTCCTGTTTGTTGCTTTGTGAGAGCTTGCTCCCTTGCTTGAATCCATCTTTGCCTTTTCAAGCTGCTGCTCCAGAATCACAGCTCGCCTACGCTCTACCTGGAGTTTCTGCTCTGCCTCCAGACATTTCTCCTTTGCCTCTTCCTCTCTGTCATGAAGTCAAATACAGACAATTCTTATCAATTTAAAAAGCAATCTTGCATTGTAACAGTAAAATACACTATTCAAGTAAACTGTTGATGGTTGTAACATACATGTATATTAAATCCTCATCTAAGATGACCGTAAAACTTTTTTTCAATACACCATTTGCGTACATATAGTATGTTATACATTATATACAATGAATGGTGGGTGCAACATATACCTTACATAAGCTTATGGTAGGAACAGACCAGATTCCTACCTCTTCCTTAAAACATTCACCAGTTCCAGAAGTTTATCTCTCTCCACCTCTGCAGCCTGGTACAGAGCCTTGTACTCAATGCACTGTGCCTGCAACAACTTCAGCTCAGCAGCATTTGAACTGTAAAAAAAGGAGTCACTTTTGTCTTCCTGAGATATCAAAGACCATCATCTATGCTTTATGATTTAAATAATTTTAGTGTTCAGTCAAACCTTTTGTAACAAAAGTGATTGAACAGTTTTTATGATTCAAGAATTTGCTATCATATCATTTTGTTGTCATGATTACCTCATTGTTGAAGGGAAGACACTGATGAGTTAACATAAACTTCTAAATCTCTTAAATTTAGGCTGCTTCTTCAGGTTCAATGTCACCTATCTGATATTTATATTTTATGCTGAATGCATGCAATACTACACACTTGTCAACATTAAATTTCATTTGCAAGGTGTCTGGTGACTGTAAGCTCTCCTGTTTTGGCATTATCTACACACTCTGTGACATACTATTTTAGAGTGAAAATCACTGAAACAAATTAAAAGAGTAACAGACATGCTGTAATTCTCATAACTACTTATTACACCAATTGCCATAGACATCAAATCAACTGAGTTGGTTTTCTCCTCTTATAAAAGTTACTTGTTTTTAATCCACTTGCATACAGTGCTGACCACTCCAAAAGATTTAAACTTGGAAATTACACTTTACTTTTAGAATATTTATAAGAAACAAAATGGATATTAAATATGTTACATAACAAACTCTCTCTATACACTGTAAATCAATAGCTACTGTTGATTTCCTAAAGAAATTCAACATGAATCCTGATTATTCCTTAAAATAATGTTAAGATGGCACAGAAGAAAAGCAAACAAAAGTTACTGACCCTACTGCAGAGCTGCTTCTTGAAGGAGGATGAGTAGCTGCTGATTCCACAAGCTTGTGCCCCAGTTTGGAAATGTCACTACAAGATTTGACAGATCAGAAAATAAAAATAAAAAAAGGACTCACTCACTCATACTGTCTTTACCATAACCTACTGTGAAGAGACAGTATTTACAGTGCCTTTGAAATGTATTCAGTCCCTTCCTGTGGTGTCCCATTTTGCGAAATTACAAAATGGTACATACACATTTTGTATTATTATAATATATTTGTTATTTATATATTATTTAAAATATATCATATATATATATTATTTAGTATTGTTTTATTCAAGCCTTAATGCTCAAACTGAAAACTACTAAAGGGAGGAAAAGTTACAATAAATGTTAGCAAAGGCTAAAGAGAAAAAGAACTGATATGTTATTCAGACGAGTGAACTCAGTAATTGATGGAAGTATCTTTGGCAGCAATTACAGCCCAAGTCTATTATCTATCTAGCCTATGTCTACCAGCTTGCACACTGTCGTGGTACAATAGTCACTGATTAGTCTTATCAGATTTGCAGAAGCTCTATCGTTGTTTGTAAATTGCTTATGGAGAGCAGTTTTCAAGTTTTCCCACGGGTTCTCAATAGGATTCAAGTCAGGATCTGCTAAGACATTTTTGTAGCTCCTTATAAGCCCCATCATTACATTGACAAGGATATTATTGGCCCATAGTCATTGTTCTTTTATATCAGCCACTGACTTTTAAATGTCTTTTTTCAGTGTCTTTTCAATCCCTTTCCAGTTTGCTCCTTGCCCGGCTTTATACTTTAGATGAACAGCCAGATCTTTGCACAGCTTTTGTTTTAAAAATCCTTTTATTGCAAACAGACAGGGGCCACTAAACTAACTGGCTACTTAAGGTCATTTTCTACTGCAATTATATTTTTCATTTCTTTAATATTCATATTCATATTCTTTCTTTTTGTTTTTGCTTTGACTGTGTAGAGTAATTGGTGTACATAACAAATATAAATTGCTACTTCAAAGTGTCATCTCTTCCAGCTTTTAATCAACAAAATGCGAACAAAACTGTGCAAAGGACTGATTACATTTGCAAGGCACTGTATACAGTATAACCACAGCATTAATGAAAACTTTGTGAATAACATATAGTATAAGCAATTATGCTGAAATTGTATCTTCATTATGTGCTGTATTTGTGTACCAAGTGTACATCTAATTATTAAAGTTCATGTAATTAAGGAACCTAATTAATAGTTCAAATAATGAATAAAAGTACTACAGGTTACTTTTTATAATTATTAGGCATATTCATTATTTTTGCACTTGCTGGACAGACAATAAACGTTTCTTATTTGACCCTACGTATATATAAGTTAACAATTAACTACAAGATGCATAATGCAAATAATATCCAGTTCTCAGGTTCCACGTATAAAGTGCAATAAATGAAGATAAGTAAGTAAAATCATTTATAGGTGCAGTGATCATACCAGGTAGAAGCCACTTTTCCAGTGTTATCGCCTCCTCCTGTCAGAGGTCTGGATCCACTGACAGCACCACAATCCATCTTTTCCATTGATTGTAGACTTTCCACAGCTTTAGAACTAGACTCCTCACCAGAGTGCCTCTGGAATTCATCATTGAATTAACAGTAAGACTTGAAGATTTTTAGTTATTATATTTCAACTGATTCTTAGAATTTTTTTACTTTTATTCATGTGACAACAGCAAACTGACAGCAAAATTCCAAACTTTTGACTATAACCAATTAAGTACAGAAATTATAAGAAATGTAAACTGAGATCTGACCACAGAGAATAAAGACTGTTACTCAGACTGTTATTTATTTTTTAAGCTTAAAACATAGAAGCCCAAACTATAAATTAAAACAATACAAAGCATCGGTTGACAAATAATTACTAACAGAGGAACCAATTACATTCCTGAACCCAACTGCAAACAGTAGTTTCTACTTAATATGCTTATGTTACTGGATTTTTGGCAGTACAGTGCCTCAACATGTTTACCTTGAGTGACAGTTGTCTGACTTCTTCTTCAAGCTGTTTGACCTTAGCTTCCCTTTCAGAAACCATCTGCCTGAGCTGCTGGATGAGCGAGCCATGCCTCTGGGCCTCTGTGTTCATCTGCTGGCCAAGAGTCTGCTGAGCCTCCTTGGTCTTCTGCTCCTGCTGGCTGAGACGGCCCAAAACATCCTGCAGCTGTTTCTGTTGCTTCTATAGTGGGGAGGGAGAAGGCAGGCTAAACTTAGGCAGTTAGCAGTGATACAGCAATGTTACAAAAACTATGGAGAAAAAACCTCCTTCAACAATATGAAAAGTCTTCAGACAAACCAAGTTTTATGTGATTGTAAAGCAAAGAAGTTATTACAAAGCTAATCAATTACAGTTCTCATCTCTCAATTCTCAAAGAGCTCAATGTTGAAAATGACCGAAACAAAGAATAAGCACATCGATACCAGAGAATGAAAGCAAATACTCTTGATGTGACTTATTCACTTAAATGTAATAAATCAAGAAAAGAGGTTGAGTTTACAAAGTTAAATTTATATTAGCACATTCAAGGGTTTTGTTTGCTACCATGTGTTAGCTTATAATTTACAATTTAGTCAGAAAATGTACAGTATCTGCTTTTAACAAGTGTTTTTCTACTGCACACAAATTAAGAGCACTATCCATTTCAAAGGCAAGATAAACTTGGCTCCAGAAATATAAATGAATGTTCTTACCAGTAAGGCATCAACCAGCTCATCATCGTGCTTGCCCTTGTCCAGGAGGGTGGAGATCTGGCTCTTCAAAGACTTCACCTCATTACTCAGCACTTTGTTTCGAGCTTTGGAGCCCTCTAGCTTCTTCCTTTGATCCTCGTAGTCCTTCTGGAGAGCTTCATGGTCACTAGTGATTTTCTGTGTGATTAAAACACATGAAGACACTGTTAACTACGCTCTTGAGAAAATAAATTAATTCCTTCTTAAATTATTATTTCATAATTCTAGAAAGATAACATCTATATTACAAGATATCAAGAATACAACATTTATAGGTAACTTGGCTGAAATGGTTCATGATTGCTGGGGGACTGTGAAAATTTGTGTTTGCAAAACTAGAAAAAAAAAAACAGACAAAAAGCAGCAGAGCCTGCCTGCCTATAGCATCCCCTGGGAGCAAAGTCGACTATACACTCTACTGGACTTTAAAGGCCAAACAACAACTCCATCTGTGTTTTTCTGTTAGAGGCATCATTAAAGCTTTTGAATCGATTTTACTTCTGCAACTACTGATTTTGACACCAAAATCTCAACCAGAAGATTATTTCTAAAATAATGGCATTGTAAGAAATAAAAAAATATATATAAAATTAATTTAACTTACCAGAATTCGTAAAAAACATCAGGGACCACAGATATTTACAAAGCACATGGTATATTTAGATACCCAGGCAGCGTTTGTTACGGTTTCATAAAAGGTAAATTTTCTAATTAAAAGCTGAAGATAAGGGTATCAGCCAGTAAAGATGCTCTCCCGAGCACAGGTTAAGTTCTGTACGTTGTAATAGTTATTTTTCCTGTATTACATTACAAAATGTGTAAATTTAATATACAAATCTATACAGGACTAATCAAGACTGATTTAATTAAATATTTAATTTCATTATTTTATTAAATAGACATTATGTCATACTTATTTTTCTTTTCAGTAAACTTTTTTATTGGAAAAAACATTGAGAACTCAAAAACAAATAAAAAGGATAATATGGCCCTGTTGTTTTCGTGAATATTTCATGTCTTTAAATGAATATTTTTAGAGAAAACACAACTTTCAGACAATTTTACTATACATTTCGAAATCATTCATTCACAATACCTCTAAAGCCTCTTTTTTCTCTCTCTCCATGGTTCGAATGCGGCTGATATTTCTGTCTTGTCCTGGGGTTCTATGAACTGCCCCCAGTCCCAGCATCTCCTCCTCAATGCTACAGGCAGACATTTGCTTCATCTGAGTACACTGTAAAAGCTGCATCTCCAGTTCCCGTACCTGAGCACGACCAGTGGAAAGTGGAGAAGTAATACCTGAACTCAAGAAACATACTGAATGATCTGAACACTCAAGACATGAGCTTATCTTAGCCTCAGCCTATTGAGAAGCAGCACTGTCGAGGCCCAAGATAATGTATTTTTTATGCTCTTTGCTACTTGCCTCAGATTTGATTTTCAACATAGAAAGAAATCAACAAACTGAGTCACAGATATGCAGGCAGATCATTCCAATAGGTTTTCCACTGTAGGTGGATATTACAGAAAGGCTCTGTTTTTTTAGAATATCAATTTAGCTTTTTTCTTTTAATTGCTTTGCATTTATTCTATAATAACCTAAATAATAATGTGATCTATGTTTTTACTTTTTTACAAAAATGTAGATTTTTTTATGTTAAAAAAATAAAACAATGTAACTTGCCAGCAGCCATATCACTCTGCAACTCACAACTAGCAACCCACTGAAGCTAAGCAGGTGTGAGCCTGGTCAGTACCTGGGTGGGAGACCTCCTGGGAAAAACTATGGTTGCTGCTGGAAGAGGTGTTAGTAGGCCCAGCAGGGGGTGCTCAACCTGCGGTCCATGTGGGTCCTAATGCCCCAGTATAGTGACGGGGACAGTATACTGTAAACAAGCGCCGTCCTTCGGATTAGACGTACAACCGAGGTCCTGACTCTCTGTGGTCATTAAAAATCCCAGGGTGTCTCAAAAAGAATAGGGGTGTAACCCCGGCGTCCTGGCCAAATTTCCCATCGGCCCTTACCAATCTTGGCCTCCTAATAATCCCCATCTATGAATTGGGTTCATCTCTCTGCTTGCTTCCCCACTAATAGCTGATGTGTTGTGAGTGTTCTGGCGCACTATGGCTGCCGTCGCATCATCCAGGTGGATGCTGCACACTGGTGGTGGTGGAGGGGAGTCCCCATTACCTGTAAAGTGCTTTGAGTGAAGTGTCCAGAAAAGCACTATTTAAAGCATATTCATTATATATTTCACCATGGACTATTTTCTAGTTGACTGATTCCCAACCTAGGACCTGGTGTACCACTGCATCTTCTAGACTTTGCTCCAGCCACGTTCTTAATAACAAGATACCTGATTTCAGTTTTTTATTTAGGGCATACTTTTAAATTTGCCTTCAGCTCTTAAGAGGTCAAATCAGATTTGTATTTCATATTAATCTGATACATGTTTCTGAGTCTCACAGCTATTCTCATTCTTGTGTGGTATCTGAAATGTAGCCAAATGAATATCTGCAGGAGGAAAAGAAATGTGGCAGTTATGGCTACATTGTCATTCACACCCATGTCTGCTCATCATAAACCGATTGCCTATGAAGAGCTACTTAGACAGAAGTAGAAATAAGCCAATTGTCAAGAAAATGCTTATATAAGCTGTATATTCTGAATATGATGAACACATTACCTTTGAATAAGGGTCTCTATGAAATGTAGGACTGAGTGTAGAAGAAAACAAAAAGACTAATCCAATAAGCAAACAGATAAATTAAAGTTGGCAACCAGCACTAGAGATTTAGAAATCATGTGGAATGAAAATCAGCAGACGCAGTGGTATCTCTGGATTGAGACTCAGAAATACTAGTATAGTTTATTGGCATCATTATATGCTACAGTGTGTGGCAAGATTAGACAATTTATTGTGATAGAACAAATTGCAACAGCACCTGGAACTTGGAATATAAAAACTGATATCTCTGCATGTAAAAAAAAAAACAATGGAGATTAATTAAAGAATGCATTTCGTGAATATTCACCCTGTTCTGTAAGGCCAGAATCTGTTGAGAACGACCACGCCAGTTCCCAGGGGAGCTCAACAGCTGTTGAATGTTAACTTCTTCTCCAACCTCACTGGTCAGAACCTAAAATAGATTCACCCACATGACAAATCTTTATATAATTTACCCACCTTCAGTAATGGAAAGAACTTGGGCTACAAAAATGGATAAGCACTGGCTCTTAAAAATGCTCTAGACAGGAATCTTTATTTGGTAGACTCAAATTTTAGTCAGCATAAGTGAAACAGTTTATCATAGTGTCCAACTATAAGTGCAGCTATGACCTCTTATTCTATGACAATCAAACCAAATATAAAGTATTTATTAAATGGTTATATTGTAGCAATTAAATTAACGAAAACATATTTCCCCAAACAAATATAGAATGTTTAGTTTATATTAATGTCATTGAAATCTCTTTGTCCCCCAGAGAAACTCTGAAAACATTCAAAGAGTGAGTAGCACTTAAAAGCATCTTTCACTGGAAAAGAAAACAAATGAGCTGAGTGCTGCTTTTACAGCACTCAGTCAGCTATTATGGTTCACTGACAGATTGGTTAAAGCAACAAACTCAACAATTATATAATACATGTGGGGTGAACAGGGGAAGGAAAGCCTGTCAAAATACTGCACAAATAAAGACAAATTTGTCTCTTTCTTCCAGTCATTCACTTTTCATTACATGAAAGAACAAGAAAGAGCAAAGACCTTTTGGGCAATTTTCAGCTCTTGCTTCACAGCTTGGATCTGGTTACGGTACTCTGTCATTTTGAAATTGGCTGAAGACAATTTTTCTTGTAAAGCTTTCACCTCAGGACTCAAAGCCTTGAAAACAGAATGAATAAAGCTAAAGTAATTACCAAGCACAATAGGGAACACAAATCATGTCAGCTTAATTGTCAAAAGGACTAGAAGAGGAGTTGAATATAATTAAAACATCCTTGTGCTAAACAGTTCTCTTGTTAGACTCTAAGATTCTGATTTGATTAACATTTAGGTTCTCCAATTTGCTTTTACAATTAAAATATTTTGGACAGGTTATCTCATTCACAAATACCTTCAAAGAAACAAAATGAATTCTATCTCAATGTAGACATACTGTATGAATGTGATTCATAGCGAATCAGCAGACTGTTGCTATCAAAATGAGAAATGTATCATACTCTGCATTGAGAATGAGACACCAAAGTGAAATGTTAAAATAACAAAGGTCAAAGTAGAAAAAACAACCCTGTAACAACCCTGTAATGAGTATTTTAAGATATGTTTCATTAACAAAGTTCTAAATTATCTTCATTTTCAGTTTAGGATTCAAAACAATAGGTGACTTTTACTGTTAATCAATGAAAGTAGTAAGAGCTCTTACCAGAAGGTCCTCTGATGTCCCTGAAGAAAGCTGTTTATTTCCTGTCTTGCCTTCACTACAAGTACAACTATTTGTTGTCTGTAACTATAGACAAGAGTGTTGGAAATGAGGTGCAGAACTTCTATCATACAGAAATTTTATTACATTTTTTTTATTTTGTTGTATTTCTCTCATGTAATCAGTACAGACTGTACAGGGAACAAACTGCCCAGCAATGAAACCCCCTTGAAAACACCCCATGAAAAGGGACAATTAAAAACATCCAATGTATTATATGGTTTTGGATGACTGGAGGAAACTGCAAATCTGAAATCATAACCAAAATCACATTATTATTAGCACTAGCACTAGCACTAGCACTACTACTACTACTACTACTACTACTACTACTACTACTACTACTACTACTACTACTACTTCTGAATATCCAGCTCAAATTATTTGCACTGCAATGTACAGTAGTTTAGGAAACTTACTTTGTTAAGAATAGAACACAGGCAGATATACTGAAGTGACAAGGGTAAAACTCCTGCTTATCCCATTAAATGCAAAAAGGTAGAAGGCTGCTGCCATTAAAATACTTTAGTGACTTTTTTTCATTATTGAAAACAGGACAGTTATCAAATTAGATTTTACTTAAGAATGTTTGATGAATGGTGTACTGTATGATAAAGCTAACTCTGACCAACACCACAAACATCTTAGAAAACTAGTAAATGAAAAATATGCAGCCAGTACAAGATGGGAATTCAGAGCAGCTTTTGCAAAAGAAAATGGCTGATATATATCTACAAGTAACATTTTGCCTATATACATTTTTTTCTTATTTTATGCTGCCTTTTTCATGTTCTTCTGTTTTAGATATTGATGTAATCTATTCATAGCATGCACAAGTGTTTGCTCTGAGGAAGTGACTTCCCCAAGGTGCCTCTTTTAAAATGCAAATGCAAGACATTAACGTGCTCATCAAAATCACTAGGAAATGTAAATGAACCATGACTCAAAAGTTGTGCTCAGCACTGTTGCTGTCACTAATGCTCAGGCCCTCCATTCGTCACATGAATGCAAAAACCATGCAGTGCAACTGTATTTTGCAAGACATATACAATATATCTATCTAAATCTGTCTTCACACTGGTAGAGTTATGTCCCCTAAATAGCTGCAAAGGTAGGGAATTAATTATGAACACAATACCTTGAAATTTAAACATTTCACCATATAATTTATTATGCTTAATTTGCACTGGTTATGTATGATTTGTATAATTAAAAGGTATTGTCTATAAACATTTTCCATCTATTAAATCATCTTTAAGTGAGCACATATTGTGCAGTGCAGTTTCCCCCTTTCTTACCAAGTGTATGGTTTTTGCCTACAACTTTTTTTGTACTGTACATTTTGATACCATCGGCCACTTTTATGCTTTTAAACATCCATGCACAACTATACTGGGAAGGCAGGACAATTTCCTTTCGAGTCGCTCAATGAATAACTCACCTCCTTCTCGAGGTCTTTCAACCTGTTGCTCATTTGTTTAACCTTAGTTTTCTCTCGCTCTATTTCAGCTGTCAGCTCTCGGTTCTTCTTTGACAACTCAACTATCTTAGTTGCAGCTGCATCCCCTGCCAGACCAGATGTGCCTGATACAAGTCGCAAAGAACTATTTAACGACATGTCAGAAGGCACAATCGTAAAACAAATGCTAACTATTCCAACACAGTTAAAAACACAGCCCATCTAATGGACCCCCTGATGGGTTTGTCAGCTTGATGTATCAGTCTGAATCAAAAGCTTGCATGATTAAATAACAGTTCAAGTAATGTTAAAATTAACAATGAAATACAATCAAAACATTTTTGATTTAAGAAATTCTTCAATTTGAAGCCATGAAAATGACATTCCAAAATGAATCTGTAGCTGGAAAAACATTAAGTTTTAATAACCAATATTCTGTCTGTCACTCAACATAAAAATAATTCCAGACGTTGTGTGTCATAACTTATGACACATTGTTTATTTTGAATAAATTATACCTGCTAAGGCCAGTCTGTCTTCCTCCCTCTTCTTTTTCAGGTGCTTTATTTCAAAGTCCTTCTCACTCAGGAGTTTGTAAAGCCTGCCATTCTCATCGCGCAGCTCCCTCACCTGCTCGTGAAGCTGCTCATTTTCATCCGCTAGCAACCTGGAAACACAGGTCGATGATGCTACTTGGTGTGTTATGATGAAGGGAGAAAATCACAGTTTCACAGATTTGACTACTGAACTCAAGTGCTAAGAAAACCAACAGGCTTGCAATTTCGTCAAAGAATAGGGGCATATGGTAGGTTACAGAAAAGAGAAGACCATGGAGTCCAACTTACTCACCTGGCTGTTAGCAGACATTAAAAAACATCTCACGAATTCAAGACTCTTCTTGATTGCTCCCCAAGACTCAACATCTACTGTTCTCAGTCATGAATTCAGTTGTACTTATTTTTTAGTTGCAGCCATGTTATCTTTTTTGTTATGTCAATTCAGAAGAATAGATTTTTAGCCTCTTTGAATAATGTATAATTATCTAATCATCCACGTTCTGTCCAATTGAGGGTCGCAGGGGAGCCGAAACTAGCCAGCAAGTAATACTGTAAGTGCAAGGCAGGATACACCCCAGACAGGATGCCAGTCCATTGCAGGGCACATACAGACACATAATCATGCCAGGGACTATTTTTCCAGAAGCCAATTAACCCATCAGTATGTATATAGACTGTGGGAGGAAACCTGAGCACTTGGAGAAAACCCATGCAAACAGGGGGAGAACATTCAAACGCCACACAGACATCATGCCAGGAACTGGGCCCAGGGACCAGCTCTGCGAGGCAGCAATGTTAACCACTGTGCCACTGCTGACACCATTGTAAACTGTAATTATATTAAAGAACATACCTATACAATGGGAACATAATTTTATTATTTCCAATCCTTAAATATCATCATATCGACTATCTATAGTACATATCTACTATATATAACTAATATATTTGACATAATCTCAGATGCTATTATCCTTGCTTTGTTCTAAATGTTAAACAGTATAGCTAGAAATTATTTATCACTTTTGTGCCATAGAGAAAGCTTACTGTTTTGAATTAATGGGGGTAGCCCGTTAGGGGTGAGGAGCAGTTCCAGCTTGGGGCTTAAACATTTGGTATTCCACCTTGTGTTTGCATCCGCTGTGGGATCATCATCCGGCTCCCGAAGATTCAGGCCATCCTGGACGCCGAAGGAATCTGTGGCAGTGCCGGCCAAGGCTTGCCGGCTCCCCTGCTCCTTCTCTCGCCTCTTCTCCAGCTGTCTGTGGAGCCGCCGCCGCTGCTGCTCCTGCAGCGCCTGGAACTGTTGCCTCAGGCTCTCGGTCACCCCCTCGTCGCTGTCCATCTTCAACTGAGCCAACTGGCATCACCCCGTTCCCTGAATCGTTCAAAACCACGACAGTTTAAGAATGGGTTGTCTGGAATAAGCTCCTTCCAGGATAAAGGGATTCTCCCGTCTTTTGGGGGCACTGTTACACGATAACGTGCAAATAATAATAAATGCGATCAGTCACACACACAGAAGGTGTCCCAGTTCAGAACTGAATTCAGGAAGTAGGAGTTGGAGCACGCTGTGTGGCTACTGTGCAGATTCTCTTGATTTATTGCGATTTTGCTGAATTAAAAATTATTTTCAAAGATGATCAAGTGAATATTTTTTTCCAGTCACAACCTGGAGCTCAAACCAAACCAAAATGTCAGCAAAAACCTGCAAAGACTTTATATTTTGACCAGAAAGTTTTGTTTGACTACCAGGCTTTTACGCGTAATATAAATATATAAAAACGCAACTGGGGAAATATATAAAAATAAAAGGCTTAATAAATATAAACCCTGATCAAACTAAACAGAAACAATATAGATTAGAAATGACGAAATATTAATAATACACAGTGCTTTGATGCGGTTCGGATTTTTGTTTGTGGAGAAGACATTCATGTGTCAGTACTCTATTCACAAGTATAAGGACTATAATCTTTCATATTATTCTGATATGTTACCAAAACTGCAAAATGACCGTGTTTTTGGAAATATGTCCCAGATACTAGTATAAACAAACCTTCTGCGCTTCATTTCCCTGACTAACTTTTCCCATGCTGTACGTGCCGTGCGTATCGTTTTCCCACTACACCAAAACTAAGACTGTGCTTGCATGCCAAAGTTTGATGTTAACACCCCATCGATTCCACATAAAGATCAAAAAGAAGCACATAAAAAGTAAAATATTGTTAACTCTTCTCTCTGGGAAGAGAAAACGCACTAAGACAAACTCGACAAGCGAAGACAAACATCTGTTTCTTGCATGCCTACAACAACACGTATTGTAAACAGACTAAACGAAAACGAACTCACCATATTTTCTGTATATTTACATATGTCGACAGTTTTCCATAAACTAGTATTATCGACTGAAGAAAATAATCTGCTTTTACAGCAGCTCGGGTGCTTGTGTTGTAGCGCGTACAGCTTCCTGGTCCCACGAGATTTTAGAGCGGACGCTACCATTTCCATGACAACAGTAACCAGGACACCAAGAAAATGTTTCTGGATGTGATTTGTCTACAGAGCCACACGATGCCGCAAAAGATCCACAGAACGGCATTACAGTCAGTAAATTAATTATCCATCCATCCATTTTCTTACCGTTTCATCCAGTTTGGGGACGTGGGGAAACGGAGCCTATCCCGGCAAGAAACGGAGTACACCCTTGACGTGACGTCAGTCCATCGCCTGGCACACTCAGGCACAAACATACTCACACCAGGGTCAAACTTCCAAAAGTCAGTTAACCTAAAACTTTATTTGGATTGTAAGAGGAAACGAGCACACAGAAAAAACGCACATAAACGTAGGGGGAACGTACAGATAGTAGTAAAAGCAATCCCAGGTCTGGAAATTAAACAACAGTCCCAGCATGAGAAGGCACCAATCCTAACCACTGCTCCACCATGCCACCCAACATTTCATCTTATTTTTATTTTTCATTTTATTATTACAATTACTTTTTCAACCAACTGAAAGCAGTTATGACCATGCAGTATTTCAAGCAGTCTCGTATCTGTAGACCATAAGAACGAGAGGAAGTTGAAAACACTACTACAACACATGAAACTATAAATCTATGAATTGGCTTCATCACTCTATTCTCCCCCCTACCGATAGCTGGTGTGTGGTGATCGCACCTTGTTTGTTGTCAAATCATCCAGGTGGATGCTTTACATTGGTGGTGGTGGAGGGGAGTCCTCATTACCTGTAAAGCACTTTGAGTGGAGCAGAAAAGCCCTTTATAAATATAAGGTATTATGTATAATAATAATAATAATAATAATAATATTTCCAAGTTGTTGTTGAGTTCATAGCATAATATTAGAAGAAGTTAAAATTGTATATGACAGGTTGAAGATATAATGCATACTTAGTCCAGTAGTGACTATGCCTCAAATTGGTCTTCTAAAAGGTAAAAATAGGTTACATTGAAAAGTGAGATTTAAAAATGAATAAATCAGTAATATTATACTAATTTATAAAATTGAAGGATGCTGACAGAGAAAAGAATAAGCCAGACAATCAGTGTATAGCATATAATTACAGAATCAATGGGTGAGTTATATTTGAACTTGAGCTGCCAAGTTGAGTATTAGCTAGAACGATACAGGAACAATAGCTTTAAAAATTGTTAGGCTTTTGAAATTCAACAGACTCAGAGATCAAGAGCCTTGTTTTTGTTTACTCTAATTTAGGCCAGGCTTAAACAGTATGCCAAGACATATTTATACCTAATCTTCCTGAATTACATCAATTCAGCAATATTCCAAATAATAATTAAAGTGTAAATAATAGCGATCACATTACTGTACTGTAATTGAAGCAACACCTTCGAGTTTGACACCTGAGCAAGGCTCCACAGCCAAAAGGTTGTTTTTTTTTTGTTTGCCTTTCAGCATGGAATAAAACCTTCACCTGTTCCTTTACCTGTCCCATCTAGTTGAGACTAGGCTGGTGCACAGGGGATACGTGCTGGCATGTACTTCCTTGTGAAAGAGCTGTGTCATCGTGTCTCTGCAAGTTTGGCTTGTCTGTTTTTTTTCTTTTATTTTTTGTGATGGGTCTCAACACAAAGTGGAGCAGGGATATTGACGAATGGGTACAGTGTTATTTTAATGTGTTATTTTATGTAGTTAAAAGCAAGAGTATTTGGCACAGAGTGAAAGAGTGGTGTGGGGTGGTAGGTATCAACCATGCTGACTTTGATTGGTGTTTTTTTATCTACTTCTCTGAGCTTGCTCCTATTGAACAAAGGTTCTGCTAGTGCAAATGCCTTGTAATGCTAGGGCTCAGACTGAAGAGGGGGAACTCTAGACCAGGGTTTGAATACACAATGCATCGTTACCCCTGGCCAGTTGATCGAGGAGCCCCAAGCAGTTAGCTCTACCTGTACCCAGAGGTCACCTCCAGCCCTCCCAGCCCCCACAAACAAGTCCTCAGCTGTTGTCAGTTGGGCTTTAAAAGCCACACTCACAAAGCACACAGATAGAGAAGCAGCTGGAGGAAACACAGTCTGCACCACAGCACTCAGGAAAGGATTCAGATACCAGATACAGAGAGCAGTGGAGGAAATCTCCAGCAACACAAGAAGGCTCCATGGCTGAAACGCGTTTTCTTTCTTCTCTTTTCAGCAAGGAATAAACCTATTACTTGTTCCTTTATTATTAAATATGTCTGTCTGCAATCCCAGCTGTAATTTCTGTTTACTACAGTATGGCCAAGGATGTGTCAGTTAAAGGTCATGTGATTAAGAAAATACAAAGCAGAGAAATATAAACTAACGAAGATACATTAAGTGAACCAGAAATGTTGTTGGTGTTTTTATTTTCATTATTTATACATTTATCAGTAACCTTATTGTTTTTCATTCTTTGAGAGAAAATATTCAGGAGACAATTTCAATGAAACATCTGACATTTTTTAACGCTGCCAGTTTCTTTTCTAACTATTCCTGGTGTAATTTTGCCTAACACGGCCAGGTCGATTTATAAACAATACCTTTTTTTAAAAGGCTGATGATTTCTAAACAGTATGGATATTCTTTACAGGATAGAAAATGTAGAAACAACAGGGTTGAAAAAATAACTCCCTACAGGTACAGCACTGTGCCTTGCAAAACTTTTTTCACATTGTGTTGCTTTAAAACTTGTGGTCGTGACACCATGACACTAAAAAGAAGCAAGATTTATGTAGCTTCTCCACAGATTCAAAGCAAAAAAAAAGAAAACAATTTAAAAAAAAAAAATGAAAAGTTATGATTAAGTATTTAAAATGTTTGCTACCACAAACCTAAAGTTATCTTAACCACACAATAAGTTGAATGGCCATTGTGTGCAATATTGGCTTACAGTTTTTTAAATTTATTGTACTAAGGTCATCTTCTACTTTTACACAGATACAGTAAATAGGCCTTACATTCAAAATACCACAAGCTGAACTTACTTACTTTACCTGATAATTACAACTACTGGCTGACATCCTGTTGTTGGAAGTCTAAATTGTAAGTCTAAACTGGCCATCCAAATTATAGCACTTGAGTGGAAACTGTTGTATCTTTTCAACTAAAATTGTTTACACAGTACTTTAAAGTAACAAATAATATACCCTGTAAATTAACTAAAACAGTTTATCTGAGCACAAACACACCACTTTGTATCAGTCTTTGTGTGCACTTACTGTAAGTTTACATAACATCATCAGGTTTACATAAATCTGATTCTAAGCCTATTGACAATCTGAACTTGTGGTAATATATAAAATTTGCTACCAAATATTAGAGAAAGAAATAAACAAATTAGATGTTTATCTAATGTTTGATAAAGATGCTTCCTGTCCCATGTAGCGGGAATGGCCTTGTAATATTCTGAGATGATAACTATCATCTACTAATGTAGTTTACATAAAAAAGATGATTATATTCCCAGGAAACACCACGTAAATTAGTCTTGAGATGGTATTCAAGTTATTGCATTACATTTTATCATTAAGAACACCTCCCCACACACACACAAATAGAAAAAAACTCAATGAATTGACAAAAGATTAAAAAGACATATTTATTCAAGATACATTTAAGGTAACTTAGTAAAATTAACTTAAATAGTTTAAATCTTAACTTATAAAAATACCTTTACACTCTGCAAATATCAGTATACACTTGTTAGAGCCTTTTTAAGCCCTTTTCCACACTTAAATGTTAAAGAATGCTTGTGTCTTTTTCATAACTCTCAATTTCACAGGCAGTATATTAACAGTAGGTGTTCTGGCACTTAATCGGTACAGTATTACATTTAAGATTTCTCTTGCTTGATTTTTACGTTTGCAACTGATGTTTTGTTAAACTGAAATGAATGCATGAAAGTGTCAGTAACTTCACAAGATGCAGGTCTCCAAGAGTAAAAAAATGACATATTATCATTTAGATAATCAAAGCCCAGTGAGGAGGGTGAAGGCTGGTCCCAAAACATATTACAATGACGTAAAATAGGATGTGCACATTTCAGAGGAGTTGTTTGATAAAATTATGTACATGTAAAAGCACACACACATATATATATATTTTACAAAGTGTACATACTTTGTAATAAAATTAACATCTGGTATGCTATTACACAATACACATTAAGGGAAAGTAGCAAGATACAATGTGGATTTAGAATATTAGGAACAGTACCACATTTTCATACTTTTGGATTGAAGACACTGAAATGCTATTTTGCACTTGAGTCCAATATATGTGGTCTACTTACTCAAGACAACATTGTTCAAGATCAGGGATGCCAAAAATTCTGTCCTTGAGTTCTTGATCTCGTTCGTACATTCACAAGTTCATAAGCATTTAATTGAACTAAACTAACTTACTTGGTCAAAATGAACAAAAGTACCATCTTTCCCTGGACTTCGTTTAGTAATGGGTAAATGTAAATGAGATGTATACAAGCACCAGGAGACTGTCCTCTGGGAGTGAACTTTAAGCATCCCTGTGCTAGATGCAACAAGCTAAATGACTGCAGATTGTAGGTGGTAGTCTTTTATACACCTTACATTAAATTTGGGTGCGACCTATATATTCATTTTAGAAAACATGAAAATAACTCTCTAATACAAAACATATTCAAATGAACATGAAAAGCCCATAGTGCGAAAAAGGAGTCAAAAGTTTCACTTAAGGTGCACTGCATTTTTTTGCTCACGTGGTTTCACAATATATTCCTTGTACATCGAGTAAATAACTCCTGCAGAAAAGGGGAAAAAAATGTTAACAAATCCTATTAGATTAAAATTTGCCATATCTTGTAATGTACAATTCTCATTGTAAACTGGTGTTGTTTTTGTCTCGTAATTGAGTGAGAAACTGTTCATCAAGACAAAGTAATAGCTCCCACACCTTTACTGAAAAAACATCTAAATTAAACAGATAAGCCTGGAAAAACAACAACAACAACAAAAACATAGAAACCACTATACCCTGTAGAGGTATTCTGAGTTTTAAAAATGCTGCAATTTCTAAAAGTTACTAAAGATAAAGTCATACACAACAAAAAGTACTGGAATGGTACTGAAAAGAAGTACTTACCTAAAGTCATTGCTCCCACAACAAACCCCTGAGCTCCGACACGCATGTGGATGAGATGAACAGACATTTTAGTATTCCCCCGAGTCTTCATCTTATAAAGCCCATAGCCCACGATTCCAAAGAATCCTGCCATTCCTTGGAGAGATAAAGAAAACATGTGTCACTATTATTCCCTACGCCGGAGTGCCTTCAGAATTATTTTAAATACAATAAAATACTATAAATTATACATTCAAAACAAATCCTTTTCAGGTACAGGTGGAACAAAATGGAATTATACTGGCCTGGTCTTTACTGAAACCTTAAGTTTAATCATAAATTAAATTTACTGATTTATTTCACTGACTTTCAAGTTTTAAAATCATTTACAATACACCGATGCTGCACTACTCAGTTGGGGTAATCTTATTAAGGTTTTGATTAAGAAAAACCACAAGCTTATACTCTCAAAACTTGCGTTTGTATGGGGAACTAAGTGGACATTCTAGTATGATTTCTGCAGTGTAAATGCTCTGAGACTGCATTCTGGAAAGACCGCAGAAAATATCCTGCTGACACTTTTAAGCAACAAGTAACATCACTACAGCTCAGCCTTCCCAAGTGAAGAAGAAATGACTACATCTTCACCTTTGCCATCAATTAACAAGTACATTTTTTAAACAGCTTGAAGTACAGTATGTATTTGCTAGAATATTAATGTGTTTTTTTTAGTTATTAGTTATACTACTCTCATACTATAACTATCTTTAAAGGTTATTAATGAAATTGGAATTTTTGCTTTACTTCCCAAAAGAAAAGCACAACTGCAAATTGCTTCAAAGATGATTTTGTCATCACAGCACTATATCTGTGCTTTTTATATTAGCAGGAATACATATGTATTGTCTGCTGCTGCAAGAGATACCCTTTGCCAGGACCACACAAATCCCTAGAATTTTATGAGAAAGCTTTTGGAAAGCAAGTACAAAGACACTTTAAGATACAATTAGATAACTTTTTTGCACTTAACATTTAGTAAGCGTTGTAAATGCAAAAACATTAAAAAACAGTTAAATTAGGCAAGCAGCAAGAAGCCATGTCTATCAAAATACTACACACCTGCTGGAACAAAAGGAGACTCCTTTGCTTTCTTTAGAAACTTAGAGGAATGGGTATCCTCAGTGTAGACTGGAACTACAGCATCACTCGTCGACATGATTGCTGAAAGAAAGAACCATTTTGTATGTAGTTAATAATTTTGGGTCATTCCGTACCAACTCAGTCTGAGTGCCTGACCATCTTTATGCCAGAAAAAAAATCACCAAATGACCAGGAAGGCTTTGGTTCTACTAAATTCAAGTATGGTAATTAATTTTTAAAAAATCCACACAGATCTGTGACCTGGCTAAGGTCAGCCACAACTCCAAAAGTTAAAAAAAAAGTGTCCTTGGCTACTAAAATCAGGCTGGGCTCATATCAGATACCCTCATGTGCTGTAAATTGTTCTACTCATAGTGATAAGAGCTTTCAAGAAAAGATAATTAGGAGCTCCTGGCAGTGTACCAGAGGAGACATAAGGTAACTATACCCCTCTCTCTGCAGGGGTATTCATCAATGTTTTATTTTAAAGTTATACAAAGTAAAAGTTTGCTTCAATGTTTCTGAATAAAACTAATTCACCTGGTCTGGTAACTTATTGAAAGTGAGTTATGGGCTCCTGATATTTTCTTATATGCCTTATTCCTTACATGTAGAGCATCTTATACACAATATTGGCATCAAATTTGATTCCAGAATCATTTTTATAGTCAAGGTTACTTAGTTTATTTGCACTTCATTCACCTTATACGTCGAGGAGAAATTATGGTAATTAAGAGAACTCGGGTAACCTGACTTGAATAGACACAATGACACAGCTCTTTTACAAGGAAATACATGTTAGCACGTATCCCCAGTGTACCATCTTGTTCTAAAACCTTTTACAGCCGTTTAAGGAGAGCAAATAAAGTGAATGAGTTATGTACAATTGTGGTACATAGATAAGATAGACTTACTCTATCTAGTTCATTCTGAATTACTTTTAAAAACATTTTAACGAGACATTCACTAATATTGTTACATACAATTATACAGTTACAGCACATCCATTTCTCAATGTTAATTATAAGCTGAAAAGGAAGCAATTGTAGATGTATCTCACTATTACAATATATCGCACTAATACAGAAAAAGAGCTTCTAAGAATGAGGAAGGAAGTCTGACGTTGTAACGTTCAAATTTTCAATTGCCTCTTGCATCCGATACACTTACCCTAATTTAAATAAAATGAAAGATTAAATTACACATCAGTCATTTTCCTCTGAAACTTAATGAGTCTGTATTTAGTTTTAAACAGATATTTAGGATTAAAGATGTCATTAGAACCAGATTCCCAGTTGCCCATCTATACAGATGTGGAGATCAATCGTAATAACCCATAATTCAGGAACTGTTACTGGCATTGTAGCCAGTACAGGCGACCACAAAGGGTAACTTAATTTAACAAGACATTTACTTGGTGAATTAAGAGTAATGTGATTAAGTGTAGCCTAACTTCAACTACAGTAGTACTTTAAGTATTATTAATTTTAATCATAGATTACATATAAATATATCTACCAAACCATTTAAGCCAGGTGTAAATATTAAAAGATATTACTATAAATGTGACCACAAGCACAAGAATGGCTAACTTCTCTTTTGGACCAAGGTCAAAGGAGAGGTTATCTTGTGTAAGGCCGTTCACAGAACTAGCCAAGATATAGCTGATACACCTAAAAGAATACAGATTTCTTTTCGTGTCTGTTTTCCTTAGTATTTGCTATTAAAAACTATAATACAGAATATAACCTATTACAAAAATATACAATTTAATGAAAACAAATTAATCATTCAATAACTAATGCACAATTCGGAAACTTTAATTCTTCTCAAAGTATCAGAAATTTTCTAAATAAAACAAAATTAGTCATGTTTGTGTGAAATCCTAGATACGCATAAAAAGCATGTGTATAATTATCTGAATATGTTATATATAGTATAAATCATAATGAATAATATTCTTACCTTTTTATAGTCACAAAACGATTTGTTCTTTAAAACAACTTTGATTTGTGATTCGGTACCGTTCACCAAAAGTTACTCTTCTCACAAGCTCGCTTTGCGATTCTCAGGCACTTTTGACAGGAAAAAGCCGGTGCTGCTGATGTAACGAACACTGACGTACATCGTCAGTCACGATGACGTTGCATTTTGGCGAAGATTTTGTAGATTTATCAAACACGGTATCTTCACAAGAAGCAGCTTCGTATATATCGTTAACATATTTTACTAAAAAAAAAATCTCCAATACAAAAAATGTGTTGAAATAAAAAATTACGCAAAGAGACATTGCCAATCATGAGGCAAAGCAAACTGGTGTTTGTAGTCTTGTAAGGTTGACCAAATATAATATAAGGAAACAGTAAGGTACACTATTCTCATGTTTCTGAATATTTACAATATAATGTAAAATATTGTATTTTTTTTCTTTATTGAATATGTAGGATTTCGGGAAACAAAGGTCTTAAAATCATAACAATTCGATTAGGAAAAACTACACAGTTGACATTGCTCTAACGGGAAACGGATGTTGTGACAACCAGGATGGAATTCAGTACCTACCAATCAAGAAAAGTACAGGGTGACGTAATTTTGAGCTTGTTCCCGTAACTGGGTCGAAAAATACCCTTAACAATTGGGTTCGCGTGCAAACAGCGATGACGTGCGTAGCCTGGTGGAAAAGCTCGTGCTAATTATTGTAAATCTTCCAGGATGGAATGTGTCTTCCCGGGTACAGCAGGCGTGTGTGTGCATGAGCTAATGGCCGCTCTCACTTAATACAGACTTTTATTTCCTAACTAAAACGTGTTTAGTTCTTCTTTTAGCCCGGATCTTACTTTAGTTATCGTCAAATGTACGGCATTCATATCAAATAGGTTTAAATATTTGTCAACTTCTGTAGGCTTTTCCTGAAATGTTTTATAGTAGATGTGTAATTATACTGTATATTGATTTGACCCGGTTATATACGTTTTCTTTTTCTCCTAGTAATAAAGTAATATTGCATTTTTAGTTGCAAAGGAACAAGTAATAGGTTTATTCCATGCTGAAAAGAGAATAAAGAAAACACAACGTTTCGGCCGTGGAGCCGTCTTCAGGTGTCAGACATTTTTAGTTTTTACTCGTTTTTAGTATTTTATAGTAAAGCTGGCGCAGTGGTTAGCTTTGCTGCTTCGTAGCACTGGGGCCCTAAATTAAGTTACGGATCTGCGGTGGGATCTGTGTGGAGTTTGTATGTTCTCCCCATTTTCCTCCAACAGTTCAAAAACATATTGATGGGGTTATTGGCTTCTGGGGAAATGTAGCCGGTGTGAGTATCTACATTTGTGTCTGTGCTGCGATGGACTGGCGTCCCGTTGCCTGTTGCCTGCCAGGATAGGCTCACTTGTGACCCTGAGCTGGCAAAAGCGGTGGATTGATTTTATTGTAATAAAGTAATAGTTAACTGTCCCTTTTATCTGGAGTCGGGGATTTACCACGATGTTGTACCATGATACCTGAGTAAATTTTTAGAAACACCCATCGATCATCTGTGAGGTCTTTGAGCTCTCTGACGTCCCCCTTGCAAACAGCACAATGAAAACCACTGCATTCGTTTATGCTGTTGAAAGCAGCGTGTTACTGAAAATGGGGTGGTTTGCTGCGCACAAGTTATTGTAACAAAGCACTGACATTGAATGGGAATTGCTGTGTTTTAACTGATAACATCACCTACAATGTACTTTTTCAATCTGCCCAGACGTGGGGTTGGGGATGGATATTTACCATTTGAATGACTGTATTTTTTGTGCCTTTGTGTAAATAGTAAAATTCGTCTCCGAGATCTGAATGTAACCACACGACCTGACTGTTTAGCCTTAAAAAGGGGAAACATTAGGAAGTAGAAGTATTTTCTTCACTAGCATATCATAATACTTCGCTGCTGCTTCAATATTTTTCTAAACTGAAGAATTAATCTAAGGAATGTCTTATTGTATGCCTTTTTAAAAATAAACCTGCAATTTAAAAAGAGGCTGAAGTTGGCTTCTTATTCGCGTTTTTCGTTCCACCTTAAATGCTGTGTTGTGATGTAATGTCCCCTTTCGCCTGTAGATGTCTCTCTACAGTCAATTTTAAATGAACTTAACCGGATAGATTACTGTACATATCCTCAGTAAATGGGAATATGTAAATAGTGACTGTCCAAATTGCATTTTTGTATGAAACACATTAAAGAAAATCGAAAACCAATTTTCAAAATTCATTGGCACCTTCTGCATATTTATTTATCATAAAAATTATCAAAATATTGCATTTAACAAGAAATTTTAATATAGCAGTTTAAATGGGACATTTAGAACACGTTATATGAGAATATGTGGTTAACCGTGGATGAGCAAAGGGTGATTGTACTATCTGCTTATTGCTATGAACCTACCTCCTGGTTATAAAAACGTCTCAAAGTTCTGACAGAGATGTGAGACAATGGAACAGACTATCAAAATCGTGAACTTCAGGACATTTTACAGCAGCATTTTTAAAATATGACCCTCTGAACATGGCATGAGAGAATACATTGGCAATTGCAATTTTTGCTCTATTGCTAGGGCCCTCCCTCCTGATTATAGAAATGTCTTAAAATAAGTCTAAAAAGACTACCAAAATCCTGAACTACAGGAACTTTTACTTAACCGTTTTTCAAATTTGACCCTTATAACATGGCATGAAAGAGAATATATTAGCAAATGGTGATTGCACTTTCTGCTGTATTGCTGTGGCCCTCCCTCCTGATTATAAAATCGTTGGCGAAAAAGAAGCCAACTTCAGCCTCGTCAATTTCAAAACTTATAGAGTTACTTTTTTATAGAGAATAAGCAACTTCCAGTATTAAAATAATAGTGGTTGTGATATCCTTTGTATGCAATTCTAACACATAAACATGGAAAAATGCGGTGGCAAGAATTAGAGTTGGAATGAGTAGAGAGCTAACATATCTACATCGTAAGAAGATTTAAAAAGGCAGAAACGGAAGTCGCTATATCTCGGGAAAGAAAGCAGATCAGACGCTACCTCCAATTGCCCAAACGGTGCACATCCGGATGAAACCGGCTCGGTTCGCCTGCCGTTGAAGAGTAGCTGAGTGACGCCCCCTGGCGACAACGGCGTAAACGCTAATTACAATTTCACATATAGAATACAAACAAATTCGGTGGGTTTTTGTCA